CTGCTGTTGGTGGAATGCTTCCCGGAGATGAGAAAAAGGAGTACCCCGGAAATCTTACTCCCTTTGTAATGGTAACATGCATCGTTGCTGCAATGGGTGGCTTGATTTTCGGATACGATATTGGAATTTCAGGTATTTTTTTTGTTTAAATTGAAAAAAAAAGTGATTTTTGAAGATGGGTTTTTAATTTTGGGATTGTTTTTATAGGTGGTGTGACATCGATGGACTCTTTTTTGGAGGAGTTTTTTCCGAAAGTGTACCGGAAAAAGAATCTTATGGCCACCAAAAACCAGTACTGTAAATACGACAGTCCAACTTTAACGATGTTCACCTCGTCCTTGTATTTGGCGGCACTGCTTGCATCAATAGTGGCGTCCACGGTGACACGTAAGTTTGGTCGGAGATTGTCGATGCTTTTCGGCGGCGTGTTGTTCTGCAGCGGTGCCATCATTAATGGCTTTGCTAAAGCCGTTTGGATGCTGATTCTTGGTCGGGTTTTACTCGGTTTTGGTATTGGATTTACCAACCAGGTACAGTAACAAATTTTTTACTTTTCGGGTATTTTGGGGATTATTAAAATTTGTGTTATCCGGTTTGCTTGGCTGGCTTTGGCTTCGAAGGAACTTGGACCTGACAACTGCTAAGAAAATGACAAATATGTCCTTTTATGATTCGAAATATGACCATAATATGAAAAAGAAAAAAAATAATTATACTTTAATTTATTGTGTTACCCTTAATTAGCAATTAATAAAATACACTTTTGTGGTTGTGTAATTACAGTCGGTGCCACTCTACCTTTCCGAAATGGCTCCATACAGATTCAGAGGTGCTTTGAACATAGGCTTTCAATTATCCATCACGGTCGGCATCCTCATAGCTAACGTGCTAAACTACTTCTTCGCAAAGATCAAGGGTGGTTGGGGATGGCGGTTGAGCTTGGGTGGGGCCATGGTCCCAGCCCTGATAATCACAATCGGCTCACTGGTTCTCCCCGACACTCCAAATTCAATGATCGAAAGAGGCCAACACGAGGAAGCCAAAAAGAAGCTTCAAAGAGTCCGCGGGGTGGAGGACGTGGAAGAGGAATTCCAAGATTTGGTTGCAGCCAGTCAAGCCTCGAAAACGGTCGAACACCCATGGACGAATTTGCTGCAGAGGAAATACAGACCCCATCTCACAATGGCCATTCTAATTCCGTTTTTCCAGCAGCTCACCGGCATCAATGTCATCATGTTCTACGCTCCTGTCTTGTTCAACACCATTGGATTCAAAACAAATGCGTCCTTAATGTCCGCTGTAATCACTGGCTCTGTTAACGTAGCCGCCACAATCGTTTCAATTTACGGCGTGGATAAATGGGGGAGGAGATTTCTGTTCCTCGAGGGCGGAATTCAAATGTTGATATGTCAGGTAATAGAGATTTTAACGAATACCCAATTGAAAATTTTGGTTATTTAGAGGTTTTCTTATATGGGTTTTGTTCTGTTTGATTCATAGGCTGTTGTAACGGCGGCAATTGCGGCGAAGTTCGGAGTGAGTGGAATTGCAGAGGATCTGCCGCAGTGGTATGCGATAGTGGTGGTGCTGTTCATATGCATTTATGTGGCAGGATTTGCTTGGTCGTGGGGGCCTCTGGGTTGGCTTGTTCCAAGTGAAATCTTCCCACTGGAAATTCGATCGGCTGCTCAGAGTATGAATGTGTCGGTGAACATGATCTTCACGTTTGCAGTGGCGCAGGTGTTCTTGATGATGCTGTGCCACCTGAAGTTCGGGCTGTTCATTTTCTTCGCGTTCTTCGTGTGTATCATGACGGTGTTCGTCTACTTCTTCTTGCCGGAAACGAAGGGCATTCCGATCGAAGAAATGGGGAAGGTTTGGAAGACGCATTGGTATTGGTCCCGATTTGTGACGGATAGTGAGTATCATATTGGAGCATTGGAGATGGGGAAAGGGGGACAGACGGATAGGAAGGGAATTAATTAATAGAACAGTGTGTTTAATTTGTTATAATTTTTGTGTCGGGAAAGGTGTAATAGTAATAGCTTATGTGTCTCATTGTATCAATACCTTCTATTCTACAAACATTAAAAACAAAGTTTCATTCGTTCCCAATGCCTTCCTTTTTGCCACTTTTTTTTTTTTTTTTTATATAACTATTTATTATCAAAATAATTAATATCATTATATTCTATATCAATTACGGTTCGACCTTACTAAGTTTAGGGCATAACTCTGATACTATGTTAGATGAACACACTCTCCACAACACTTTGAGCATAAACTCTCGTGGCTTTGTTTTGACTTTCACAAAAAGCCTCCTACCAATATAAAGAGTATTCTTTGAATATAAATCCATGAAAATTCCTAAATTAGCCCGATATGGAACTTTTCATCCAACAAGAGTAAATGGAGAAATAATTAATGGTTAAATTTTGAAATCGATACACACGAACAAAATATTTCTTGTAATAGTTTGGAAACCTCTCTATAACATATGCATCTTAAAACAGTCAGGCTGATAATTATTTATAACAAGTCGAAGCATAAAACATTGGACTCGAGCAGTTACAAAAACTCTCCTTAGACCTAATAAATATAGGTTTGTGGTACTCATGCCATGTAAAATCTATTCCTTATTCTTAAATATTCAAACGTTTCATCATTTTGATTCCAAAATACATGAAAATGGTTAAAATTATGACTTGTTTGTAACATATACTATACATTTATTCTAAAGTATAAAGAGAACGGTAACAATAGTCTCTAAAGATAAAATTTAATACACATCAACGCCATGTCATTGCCCCGTTCTACATTATCATACTTTCGAATTAATATTCTCTTACAAAGCACGTTTTATACACGTTATTCATTTCAAATTGCTTACTTTACAAAAATTAACGACGACCGACATTAAAATTAATATTTTAAATTTTTTAATTAAATTTGTATTGGATGCATCAACGAAATATTTTAATTAAAAATTATGAAAATTGATATTAAATATAGGCACGGGAATATTAAATAAAGGAGGCTGTAAAGAAAATCCCCACAATCTCAGCTTTAATTAGTGTAAGGGAAAAGATAAAGAGAAAAAGAAGGGATGCAGAAAAAAGAAGCCTTCTAAATTTTTAAACCCCTTTTCCCCAACTAACCAAAAAGGAAGAAGATGCTCATTAACTTCTTCACGGTGTTTCTATGAACAATATAATCGATAACTTTCATTTTTTTTTACAAGGTAGGGAAGGTCTCGAGAATCATATTCTATCTCATTTGAAATCCGAGTTATATAAAATTTTATGCAATGATTATCGTTAGAAATGCAGATACATTCTCATTTTTATTATCGAAGGGGGCTGAATATGAAAATGGCGTCTTTATTGATAGATTTGAACCTATCACCTTCTTTTACACGAGATATTAACTTTATTTTGTTTGAATGGATAACGAAAACATTGTCATACGAACAACGTCATGAATATTAAATACATAGTTTTGGATAAGCTCGGTCGTAAAAGCTCTAGACTTTTCTTAACGGAAGAAATTATTCCAAATAAACTCTTTTTATTTCGATGAGATTGAGATTAAAGGAGAAAACCATTGACACAAACCCATTGACCAATAAAGAGACTGGAGCAGTTGAGATTTGGGTTGATAAAATTGAAGCGTTGAGTGCTCAACTTGAATGTATTTGCAAGATCAAAACAAGTGTCTCCGCTTTCAACTCCATGCACTTGGTTGCATTGTAAGGCTGCCTCTGCCCCAACAGATCCACCTGCGTTGTAATAATAATTGATTAAACACTAATCTATTTTGTTACCCTTCTTAATCGTCTGGTTAGATGTTGGTTCAATGAGTTAAGCAAACTCCAAAACGAATAATTGAAATCTAATGGAGTGGGCATTGCTTGATTTGCACATAAAGGAGATACTCAACTCTTCCAACTAAATTTTTTTTTTTTTCAAACACTCTACGTTAGTGAACATCTAAAATCATTTGAAAAGTTAATCTAAACACGCATGGATACCTTTTGTCTGAACAAGAGATTAGACTAAAATTTGTGTTAGAAATAGTTAATAAAGGTTGATGAAGTGATAGTAATTCAATAATACTATGGTTAAAATGAAGAACGTACTAAAGGAAGCTCGACTTTCCACAAAGATTGAGAAAATGAGAAGAGACAGGGCAAGTAAGAGGGTAAGGTTGATGGAAATTGAAGTAGCCTTGGCCATAATTTACTTCACTTGGCTTACTCTCTTTTTGGTTAGGTAGAAAGCTTTGTTGTGGGTGTTGGATTTGATGGAAAATCCCAAACTTTATAGCTGCAAATGCACATTAGGGAAACGTTGCCATCTAAGTTTCAGGCAAGTTGAGGCCGGCCATTGTGTAGGCGGATGGTACAAGACACCTGAAAACTATGAGGTTTGTAGCCCGGATGAGCAGCCTAAATGATTATTTTTCCAATGACTTTAGAAGAATATACTTCGAAGATCCTACCGCTAAAGAGTCAAAATCAGCCACTGAACTAAGTCATTAATCATCCAAAGATAGTTATGAACCAAGTCATTTATCTTATAAAAATTGATGGCAGATTTTAGACGTTTTGAGCCATTACGTATCATATCAGCCTCACATTTTTAAAACGCGTATATTAACGAGAGGTTTCCACACCTTTATAAGGAATGTTTCGTTCTTCTCTCCAACTGATGTAGGATCACACAATCCACCTCCTTGGAGGCCTAGCACCCTCGCTCGGACACCATCCGGTCTCTGGCTCTAATACCAGACACGTTTAAAAATTGTAAAGCTGACGACGATACGTAGCAGACAAAAACAGACAATATCTACTAGCAGTGAACTTGGAAACCGATGCTAATTCTATCACAAATCTGTCATCTTCCAGAGCTAAAGATTGAGCCATATCAAATGAAATGGATTACTTTGATACATTGCATTACATTCCTCTGTGGCCATTTTATCAGCCAGAGAGAAATCAATGAAGGATATTTATCTATATCTACATATAAAAGTGTAATCCCATTGGATGTCTCAAATTACACAAGACTTCTCCTCAGGGGGTTTTCTTTCAATGAAAATAAAAATATGTTCACCTAAACAACATTTTCGACAATATACGAAGAAAAAAAATACACAACCTTTTTTAAGGGTAGAATTGATACTCGAGTCACAGTTCATTTCGAAATTCCTTTCAAATTACAGAACCATTGCCGGAAAACTGAAACCAAACCTATACAGAGTCTACCCCTTCAACTTGCTGCTTTGCCAGATATCTTTCCCTCCGTTCTTTCTGTTAAAAAAACACAAAATGGAAGTACATGAAGAGTGCGACTCATTAGACTCAGTTTTAGACGATTCGCATGAGAAGGATAAATAAAAGAACACAACTCACCCATTCATCTATCACGAGCCCTTCTCCGATGATTTTTGGGCCTGCTTCTTCTGGTGGTTTCTTGCGCGCCTCGAGTGCAGCATCGGCTTCGGCTAATTGTCGCTTCAATTTTTCTAAGGCCTTAAAGAGAATTACAAAAGGAGGGGTTGCACGTTAGGCGTCTAATTCATCACAGGATTTCAAACTAAATTACTAAGTTTTAACCTTACGATAATTCAATTTTTGGTTTATAAGTTCAGATTTAAAATATTCTTTCCAAAATCTCTCTCATTCTAAACAAGAAAAAAGAAGAGTAGAATGATTTTAAATATTTCAAATCACTTAATTTAAAATCATTTCTCATACTTCTTGATTCCATTTGGAGGAATAGTGAAATTCTGATTATTGATGAATCAACTTACTGCATTAGGACGTTCTGGATCCAGGAAAACAACCCGCAATATCTGTTCTATAGAAACTTGGTCCTTCTGCTCATCAAACTAGATCAAGAGGCAAAAATAATGAGGTTTTATAAGTACTCGTTTTACCTGCTTTCTCTAGCCCAACATGAAAAGGCATAAACTCGGGACAAAAGGTATGTTAAAAGGCCATCTTAAAACAGGCAACGAGTGAACGAAGGGGCATTCATAAGTTGGAAGTTTAAAAGAATTAGGAGCAAGACCCTCTTTTTTCTTGTAAATAAAATAGACCCGGGGGGAAGCCACAAATTGGGGTTACAGATAAGGCCCAGTTTATTATAAGGTCATTTAAACTAATCTGTAAAAGTAGGGAAGAAGGATTCACACCATCCAAGAGAAGACTAACATTTTTTTAATGAGAAACATAGAGAAGTCTAAATTCTTTTTGATTGAGAACACAAGGAGAAGACCAAAAATTTTAACTAATAGTCCCAACCAGAAAAGGAATTGAACTATTCGCTACAATCTCTAACCAGAAAAAAAAAAATAATAATAATAAATATATTTGTCAGAACTCTTTACAAACAAAACTAAAGCATGCAATAGAATGCCTGCGACTGTATGTGATGAATATATATCAATAAGGAGCCCATACAACAAAAGTTTCCCTATCATCAAGTGATCAACCAAAATTTTTGGAAACTCATGCAGAATCTATACTTGTTCATTGTGGCCACTAATTAACTGAAACGACATCTAGTCCTGGCCCACTGATGAACAACATAGTCCTCTAGTTTTGACAGATATCAACGAAAAAATTCATTAAGATATTGATAAATCCATTTCCTCTCTAAAGTGAAACAACACTTGTAGCATTAAAACTAAGATTAACTTATTGAACAAAAGATTCATCAAAACGTAAATAACTGGAAATACCAAGCAAAGGAAAAGATGAGACGCACCAGCTCAGGCACATAATCCATTTGTCCTTTCACCTTCAAGCTCATAATTTTAAACTTAACCCTGTTGTTCTTTTGATCCATTGGCTTCTCGTTATTTTCAGGAACCTCAACAAACTTGAAAACTAGAAGATCCATCCAACATCGACAGCAATTAGAAAATGGATGTTTATAAGAAACATAAAATTATGCCAATTTCAAGAAGAATAATATAAGGAACTAAGTAAACTTAATAATCATAGCTGTTATATATCAACCTAGGAAAAGAGACAAAAATGGATATGAAATCCAGGAAAATAGTTTACCAGTGGCTATGATGCTCTCTCCAGGGGCAAGAATGGCTCCAGGAGGACGCATGAAGCAGCTTTTTGGTGCAGTCGTTTGGAACTATATGAGAGTTAAAACACAATGAATCAACAATCACTATAAGCCGGATTTTACAGACAATATTAGGAAGAGAGCTATTTTTGGAAATTATAACTAATACTACTAGCATACGAACCCACTGTCCACTGATCAACCAAATTGTAAAATACAAGACCTGTATGGTTGAAATATGGGTACTAAAATGCAAAGTTATATGCCTGAAACAGGAATTTAGGACGTTCTTTACCTTGAAAGCAACAAAAGATTTGCTCGTGTTTTTTATTCCAATAGCACTCCTGGCCTGCTTGCCAGGTTCATCTTCAAAGATACAAAGGTGAATCAATTAAAACTAAAATCAACCAGAAAATAGATTCAATTAGAGAATTCAAACTACTTAAAACCGAAATGCAGCCGATAGTTAATTGTCGACAACAGATCGAGATCATACGAACTAGACCGAGAATAAGCAGAAAAAATCCAACAAAAACCAATAAAACGAATGAAAGAACTCACAAGGAAAGAAAAGTTTATTCGATGGATCGAGCTTGAGCCGGCGCCGCGTCGGGAGCAGCGACCTAGCAACGGAGGAGACAGAGGCGGAGGTGTGAGGATTCATCCCCTCCACGGGCGGATGAGGCTGATGAGAGGTACGAGACGAAGTAGTAGTGCCACTGGCAGAATGCCTAAACGTTTGCTTCAAAAAACCCCAGACCTTTCCATCGGACGTTGACTTTTGATCATCAATAGCCATCAGCGGAACCTCAGAGAGCTCAAATCAGAGCATCGGACGGTGAAAAGACTCGTCGGTGGCCTTGGAAAATTCACGGCGCGCAGGAGCAGCGGCAGTTTAAGGTGGCCGTTAAGAGGAGGAGGGGTCAATTTTTAGCTTCGTTTTCGATGGAAGCGGAAGGTGAGCTGGTGGGAGAGAGAGAGAGAGAGAGAGAGAGAGCGGAACTGGAGAAGAAATAAATTGAAGTAAAGAAGAAGAGTTGAGGTCCGGAAGGACCGTTCTAGCATTTTATTGAATGTTGTTGTTCTTGCGTACATGATTAGCGGGGAAAATGATCGATCCACGCACTAAAACCCACTTTTTTTTCTTTCTTTTTTTTAATAAAATAAGATAAAATCAATTCAAATTTAATTCGTTCCTTCTTTTTCTTTTTTGGTAGTACACTATAGTATTATTAGCATATGAGATCTAAAATTTGAATCTTTATAGTAAATTTGTAATAATAAAAAATAAATATGAGTTTTCTTTTATAAAAATATTATAATTTATTCACGCTATAAAACAAAAATAAATAATAATAATAATATGTCGTAATTAAACATATTTCAACTGATTTTTACCATGTTCGATAAATAAATTTCTTAAGATTTTTAGTGGCATGTGGTGGAGGACTTTGACCATATCCCATTGGTCTTAAATTCAAATTTAAAATGCTTTTCAAAAGGCAAAATATAATAACCATTCATATAAGGTGGTGCCTGATGCTGACTTTGAAGGTTTCATCGGTTCAAATTCTCATTCTGTTCCCTCATATTCCACTTCCGGATATATTCTTTAATTATTTATTTCTAAAATTAATCCAAGAAAAAAAAATTATTGTATTTAAATCCTCTAAATATGATCACGAATATTTGAAAATAGTTCGTTTTTCTTTGAAGAATTAAGATAAATTCAAGGTATTAAAGCTTTGTCATAATCCATTACTTTAAATAATATTAAATGATTAATTAATTGATGAGTTATAGTAAATTTAATTATATTCCATTATCAAAACAAGGGAGACATGTGGCAAATTATAATAAAATTTCAATCAAATGCTGAATTTAATAGCAAGCGTGGAAGACTATAGTATTAAAAGTCAACATTTTTAGACAAAAGTTCCATTGAAAAACATTATTAGGGAAGACAAGGTCAATAAGTCCACGTCCTCCACTAAAAGGTTATTTGGCGTTTTTCACAGGAAAAGGGATAGGGGATTCTGGTTTTTCCAACCCACTCGTGGTTCTGGTTGCAGCAGATCGGTTCTTTAAATATATTATTGTAATTATTTTTCATTTTTGGGATTAAATTAAAATTTATGGGATTTTTTTTTTTTTTTGGTCAGTGTATACGAAATCCAGAGCAACTTAAATGGGCCTAGTTGGGCCTTTTCTTCAGCCCATGGGAGTCAGCTCAATATCCGGATTCCCGCTATGGCTGTACTTCACTCTGTCTCGTTTCGCCACTGATCGATGGACTCGTTCTTCTCACTATATCTCTGCAACTCCACGCAGCCGGTGCTGCAACATAAGGTCTCTTCTCTCCGTCCTTGTGGTATTGTTTGATTTTTTCTTTTGGAGAATTTTGTGTGGGTGCCTGATGATTTACTTAAATTCTTTCTTATTGTATTGTATTTATCTCCTGTCTGCCATTGACGATGCAGAATACGAAGTATCGGAGAGAGCTTGAGCAGCTGTAGATGTGGTGCAGAGAGCTTTTCGTATATTAGTTGACGTAATTGCTCTGTCCTGTTCTCTTTTATTTTGTTTTTGTTTTCAGTTTGGGTGCTGTAATGTAATAAGTCGTTGTGAAGTCAGCTATAGATCACAATCTTACATCCTAAATCTTAACAAGACTGTACTACGGTTGTGTGATGATTGATGAATGTAATCACAACGCAAGATTTCTAATATGAGAATATTTTTGAGAAGATGCTTAGGATCAATCTATTCAATCTCTCTTAATGTTTTAGAGAATATATATTTTGATAATTGGCAGGAATAAATCGTCATTCATTTCTATTAACGGAGAAGTCAAGTTCTGCAAATGAACTTGCATTTGACAGGAAGTTGACAGGGAAGCGAATTTTGCATTTGCATTCGGAAGTAAGCCAGCCACATATTGTGTGGGGATTACTAATTGTGTTTGGTTTTAGTGTCTTTGGTTTTCTAATATGAGTGTCGTCATTGCCATTAAAATCTCATATACTATCTTTCGTCAAGAAAATTCTTCACTGCTAATGTGATTTTTGGTTATGAAGATGCTCTTTTATTTGAAATGGAAGGATTTGAAGTTTCCCTTTCGTACTATTTCATCCATTTGTGGAGATATCTAATATGTGCTTTGCATTTTACAGCTTTTTCTAAGCTCTCAATTTAGAGTTACATGTTATTCAATCAAATTAATTCCAATGCAGGTGTTGAATCCAATTGATTGTACACGAGGATTTCTTAAGAGGAAATGATGTCCTATATGTGGTATGTCATCTAATCAGGCTGCTGCATTGTACTTGTGTTATATTTATGTTGACAAGTAGGAGCTCCCAGAAAATTTATTCTGAATTTGGACACCTCCTTCTATATTTTCCAACTCTTCGAAAAATTGCAGGTAGGTTTGGCTCTTGTGGTTGAAGGAGAGATTGTATTAGGTGTCATGGGATGTCCTAACTGCCTCGGTGATTTGTCAGGAAAGTAAAACACTGAAGATCTTGAACGTGGAGGAGTCTGGTCCAGATTAGGAGCCAAAATGATTGCTCGTGCTGGGTTCGGAACATGGACAAGGAGATCATCAGATATGCAAAGCCCAACCAAACTTTTCCACAATTGGACTAGATGCGTTGTTGACGAGTACCGTCGCCTTGTGCATGAAGTAGGTACGCTTCTGTATCCCAGTTAGTCAAACGGACGAATTCCTTCCTCTATCAACGGTTGAGGATGATTGGGAGGGAGTTTTACATTGGCTAGTTAAGGAGATGATCATGGGTTTATAAGTAACGAATACATCTCCATTGGTATAAGGTCTTTTGGGGAAGTCAAGAGCTAATGCTCAAAGTGGATAATATCTAATATCGAATTCCGTAGTTCCTAACATCAACTTCATTCCAGGCAACAACTAATGTCGATCAAGTTGGGGATGGTCAGATTCCTTTTCTCTGAACATGCGGTGGAAGATTATTGCTACCCACATAATATATGCGTCCTTTGCCTTTCCCAACAAGATTCTTCTACTATACCGAGAAACTTATATGTAAGATTCCCCTTCACTATTCCTCAAACATGGCTATTGAATGGCATGACTTCATTAATGCGTGGAAACAAATGGGGAAATTCCAAATGCATACGAGTTGCTATTTTTATCAAATTCCTGTTTTTGTTTCCATGGCAGTTAAATATTCAGTGGGTGGAGTTGAACTAACACAATAACCTTTTGTGTAGTGCTGCTTGTTCAACTTTCTGTAGATGCAGAGTCAAACCGTGAAAATTGTCGATTGACATTTGGAGATCAACCGTGGAACGGTCCAGGGGGAAGATAATTACGGTAATGTACTGAGCTTATCCTCAATAATGTCAATGGTTGACCAATTAAACCACTATATAATTTCATTCACTTGGATTCAATTATTAGGCTACCTCTGCCTTGGATTTTTATTGCGAGATAGGTATTACATTATTGTGCACAAAACGAAGTTACAAACTCTAGCCAAAATGTCAATAGGGCTATAAACTTAGTATTCCAATCTAGTTATTGATTTACCGGCTTCAATACCTTGTCGGTCTACGCCAATCCACTTTCAAGGTTCCTATCCTGTATTTATTCAGGAAAAAAAAAAAAAAAAAAAAAAAAAAAAAAAAAAAAAGAAAGAAAGAAAGAAAAACTTATCCTGTGAAATCTGGCCACCCGGACTTGTATATTCCAATGAAGACAATTATCGTGTCTTAACGTTCCTACACAAACGGAAGATATTTGGAAATTCCCCCACTATCCATGGGAGTTCAGGCTGTGGCAATTTTTCGTAGTGCCTTTTGTCTCCTCTCCTCTCATATAGATCAAATAATAGATGTGACTAGAGCTGATTAAAATTTAGTTTGATTTTTCAACTTTTATCAGATTGAAATGACCAATCCGAAATAAAAGATCCTCCAGGCTTTGGATATCAGTCTAATAATATTTAGAGTGCCCTGAATCTATTAAAGAAAAAAGTGGTCCTAATTCTAAACTATCGAATTCTGCCGGGAAAATATGGAGACAAAGGAAACACACCCACTCACCCACCCACAACTCAATGTTTGTTGCAAGATAAAAGTTCTGAAGAAACTAACGATCAATCATTTGTTTTTCTTAGTCTTCCAATTGTCCAAGAATTGCCCTCCGTTCAACGTAAACACTTCGGCAGTTATTTTGAGAAAGCAATGCCCAAAGAGCATACCTGGGACAAGTAATAACCCTAAAGTTAAATTGTAAACTTAGTTTATGTGATTTGAAAAGGTTATATATATATTTTTTTTGTTTGTTTGTGGAGGTTTTATCAAACCTATAAAGATTAAATTCTAACATTTTAAATTATAGGATTAAATTTTAACCTTCGGTCTAAATTTATAATTTAACCAAAATCTAATTGGCTTGAAGACAATAGCATGACCCATCTTTATTAGCATTCCAAGGATCCCGTTCTTTTTTTTTTTTTTTTGGGAAAAAAGAACGAAAACTTTTCCGTATCTTGCATGATGGACAAAAGTTTGCTACCACGAGAATAATGGCCCTCTAAAAAACTGATCCCTAGGACTTTGGATTGGGTTCATTTCCTTTTACCGTCGATCACATGGGTGTTCAAGTTAGGTTCTGTGTAATTTGGCCACTATAAATATATAGTTTTATTAGTAGACATTAATTGCTATGATGTCTTTAACAAATATTTAGCCGCTTTAAAGTTCCTATGTTTGATGAAGTGTGAATTCAGTATACTTTATTGAAATTATATTACTAAGTCTTTGGAGTCTAAAAGTTTCTCCAAGCTTGCATGTTCATAAACATAAAGAATCCATTAAATTTTATGAACCTATTAGTTAAACCGTCTTTGTTGGTAACTTTTCAAGCAATGTTCATAAACTTCTTATATGCTTGGTTTCATTTTCTAGTGCATTTGGTTGCAGTATATTTAAAGTAATTTTTATGTGAAGTAGACATCAATCATTTTCTGAAAAATTAGCTTTGAAGGGTTTTTTAAAATATGATTTAGAATCCATGTTTTAAATGTGATTTTTATTGGTTACTAAGCATATAAAATTGTAGAAAGACACTTTTAGCCTTCTAAAATTAATTTTAGAAAGTTAAGGCTAATCACACTCTTAAGGGGTTTAAAATAATCATTTTGAATTTGAACTCTTCTATTTTCAAATGTCTTGGCCTGAAAAGAAAAGAAAACGTTCCTGATAAAATGTTGTTGGGTCCATAACATATTATTTGACCCTCCTGATCTGAGATTAAGATGGGTGAGAGAAATTTATTGTCTTTTGGCATATATTCACTTTTTCCATGGTAGAAGTGACCATTAGGCATTATAAAAACATCAAATTTAGAAGTAGAATTGGTGGGCAGCTGGCTTCAACCATTGTTCATCTATCTAACTGAAACGTGTCCAAGCTTGGTTGATTATATATGAAGTCGATGGACTTTGCTTAAACCAAATTCTCAAATTAATAATTTTAAAATGTTGTCGTACTTTATTTAGTATTCTATTACTCAAATATTCAGTATTTTAACTGTGTGTTGATTCTGAAGAACAGGATTTCAAGGGATTAGAGTTAACTAGTCATTTATGTTTTCTAAATAGAAAGTTCAAATGGTTAAATTTTTTTAGTAGGATACCTGTTTTCTTTTTATTGCTCTAATTACATTTCTAATCAATCATGTTTATAATGTTATTTTCCTAGAAGGATATATTTGAATTTCATAAGTTCTAACGTTTAACATTGAAATAATATTTCAACTTATTTTATGTGCTTCAACTGTTATTACTAAAATATACCATGAAAAATAATCATATTCGCTCTTAAGCCTATGCCTGGATTAATCTCTCTTGTTTTCTATGACATATTTTCATTAATTTATGAAATACAGAATTGAATGGGAAAAGGATGAGCATGGTTTCAGATTTCAAAGAAATAGATGTGAATTGAAAAGCTTCAGCGGAAATACGAGCCTCGTTTCGTGTCGATACTGGACCGACAAACGGCTGCCAAGAAGACACGCGTAAGATTTTGAAAATCATATGATTGATTAAAATAATGCAATTTATTGTGTAATAATTGGGCATTAAAGGCTACTACATGGAGCTCCGTACATATATCTTGTGTGAATGCATGCGAAATTCCTCTTTCTTGGACAAAACTACCCTCACAAGTCCTTGCCCCTAAAAGAATACAAATATATCAAAAAGCCCTTTAAGACTCGACGTAAAAAGGATAATCATGTCTTTTTGCTTTTATTGGTTCATTTTTTTTGAGTCAATAGAAAAATGTTGACTAGTTGGACCAGCCAATGAGAGGAAGCCATGCACGTAGGAAGGAGAAAAAAAAGGCGTGGGAGGGTGGCGCCATGGGATCTATGAAGAAGATGGGCCACGTGGCTTCACCACGTCATTGACAACACAAGACGTTAATACATAATATGGTATGATTTACTTAATTTTCATCATTAAATGCAATTTAGAAATTAATTTAGTGGCAATTGAAGGTATTTATGGAGGTATTTGCAATCTATTTCAGTAATTTCTACTCAACACGTCAGCATTTTTAAGCCGAAGTAATAAACAGTGGACGGCACCCAACCCATTTGACTTCCTCCGTTCTTCTTCCCTCTCCCTCTCTATTTATACAACTTCTTCCAATTACTGTCCTTTCATAATATCATTAATCCATTTTTCTTCTCAATTTCTTTATAATTTAATTCTCATTTACAGTATTTCTTCTTCAAAAGGACCATCAAAATCTGCAAAAAGCACAATGGGAAGAACTCCATGCTGCGAAAAAGATGGTCTCAAGAAAGGCCCATGGACTCCGGAAGAAGATCAGAAACTCATTGATTATATTCAGAAACATGGCTACGGAAATTGGAGAACCCTCCCCAAAAATGCTGGTACATTCAAAATCTCCCAAAAACTGGATCTTATTTTCATATTCTTGATGTCCGTCGGCCGTGGTTTCAGGTTTACAACGATGTGGAAAGAGCTGTCGTCTTCGATGGACAAATTATCTAAGGCCAGATATCAAGAGAGGAAGATTTTCATTTGAGGAAGAAGAGACGATTATTCAGCTGCATTCCATTTTGGGCAACAAGTAATTGAGTCCCACAAAGCTATGATTATTGTCTCTACACTTTTGTGTGTGTTGGTTTCTTATGTTTGGTTTTTAACTGTTTTTTTTTAAGGTGGTCTGCAATTGCTGCTCGATTACCTGGAAGAACGGACAATGAAGTAAAGAACTATTGGAATACCCACATTAGAAAAAGACTCCTCCGAATGGGAATCGACCCAGCAACCCACAGTCCAAGGCTTGATCTTCTCGATTTATCTTCAATTTTGGGTCCATCCTTTTACAATCCCAATTCCCAAATGAACAGCTTCTCAAGGTTGATTGGGATTCACAACTCAATTAATCCTGAACTTCTTAGATTGGCCAGCTCTTTCCTGTCGTCTAATAATGTTTCTCAATGTCAAAGTCCAAATTTTCTGCTGCAAAACGTTGAAAATCATGAACAATCCCACATGGTCTCTCAGTTACAGTTACTTCCCCATTCCCACCACCAAATTGACCAGTCTGCTGCAACTCTTCCGCCGCTGCATGAAGTTTCCGCCTGCTGCAGTCGGTCCACCGCCACTTCTTGCGGCGGTGAAACCCAATATTTGGAGCCCGATTATTATTCCTCCGGCCACCAATTATTATTACCATCGAATTTCTCTGACTCTTACTCGCAATATTGCCCACACCCAAATGAAGATTCCTCAAATAATAATGTGAACGGCTTTAATTATCCGTCTTCAGAGTATGTTCACTTTCCAAGTTTCGATGTTTATGGCTCAATTGAAGAACCCCTTCAACAAATTATGAGCCCTTCGCCGGAAACTTCCACTCTGAATTCGAGTCCGACGCCGTTGAATTCAAATTCTACGTATTTCAGTTCTGGCAATGGCAATGGGACTGATCAGGATGAGAGAGAAAGCTATTGCAGCTATAATTTGAAGTTTGAAATCCCCGATTTGTTGGATGTAAATCCCTTCATGTAACGAAACGCAGCAATTAGCTTATAATATAGAGCAGTTTTCAGAATAATACCTTGTAAAATTTTCCAAATAATTTTTAATTATAAGGCTAAATATCAATTTTCCCCAGTCTTGCATGTCAAACTATGAATGGCAAGGTTTTATCATTTTTTATAAAGTATGATTAAGAATTAACATGTTTAATATTTAATTAAGCTCTCCCTTTCTTTGTTTAGTATCTAAGTTATTTATCAAATCCAAGCAAATCTTCTTAATAGATTGAATGTTATGTTAATCCATTAATTATATCAACACTTTTAATGACTCAAGGGATTACTTTAATAAAAGGGTAAGTATCGTAAATAGTTACTTTATAAAGATCATAAATAATTTTTTAATGACTCGAGGGATTATATTAAAGAAATAATTGGAGGATTCCGGTGTCCTGTTGCCTCCCGACAGCGGGTCTAACCTTCGGGCAAGAGAACCGGAGGAGGCCGCCACAGGGGGTCGTCGGGACAGCTGTCCAGTCCAGCTGGATTGACGAACAGTGTGTTTTAATGATAAGATAGAACGTATTAATATTTTATTAATTTTAGTTTGACACTGTTGAAACACGTGGTAGCTTTTTGGAATGGGGACCATAGAAATTTTAAGACATTTAAAAATAAATAAAAGGTTGGAAAGGGTTGGTTTTATTAAAAATAGTGGCAAGGTTCTTGTGTTATGTTTTGTTTCTTTTTATTTTAGAATTTTTTACATTTTGCCTATTTCACGTGAGTGGTTAAATAATAGAAAAGTTTAAATTTAAACCTCGACGTGTCCAGTTAAACTACGTAAATATTGAGATCTCTCGCGTGTATATATATATATATATATATATATATATATATATAATGGAGTTCATCTTTGACGATATTTCAGCCGACTACGGACCCTAAAGGAAGTTGAAAAGTCCCTCACTTACGGCCGTCCAAAGAAAAAACACAACTTTTATGAGTAATTTGAAACCAACAAGTAAAGGGCTTAAAGTGGGTTTGTGTCTCTTGGCGCGCCGCAGTTTTGGCTTTCTTTTTCCAGTCACAAACGCAATTAGTGTCGGATTCAGAAGCATAAAACAGGGGGCTATTGCATTTTAATATGAGGGCGTGGGCTAAAAGTTGGCAAAAAGGAAGTGTCGGCTTGTGGGGCTTCCATTTAACTTGCCTTTTCATTATTATGAATGAAGAAAGTGTGTATTAAGATTGATGGACGTGCCACATGCTTTCCAACAAAATGCTAATTTTTCTCCAATGTTGTGGTTGTGTCCGTGCATCATACTTGAAACTCCGTTGCCTTTCTTGTTCAAGCTTGAAATGGACCGCCTAAAGCCCATGAGAGTAAACGTAAGTTGGGCCTCATGGATGGCCCAATTAAGGTCGGCAACGACGGGACGGCCCATTTCTCTTTCTTCCTTTACCTCTTGCATCGATTGTGTGAATCAGCTCTCTGAAAAACCCAGGAATTCGAATCGCAGTTTGGTGATGCCCAAAGTTAAGGAGAGTGCCCAAGGTAGAATCCTTCAAAAAAATGCTGGTAGGAATCTTTCACCACCTGCGCATGATTGCTGGATCCATTCCTCATCAGGTTTTCGATCACCATGTCGAGGTCATGAACCTTTTGATCTTATAGTTTAATTTCTTCGTATTTTAATATGTATATTTTCCTCCACACTCTCATGTTTGTGTATGAGCTTTCTGCACTGAATCTTTTCGACTCTCTTTGGATTTTCGAACCTTCCGAGTTTGTGTAAAGGAATCATAAGTTCAGGCATGAACTGATGAATCTTGCAATTCTTGGCATACCGGAGCAGTTAGCATCTCCTTATTTAATCTTTTACTTGTATAATTTACTGTTGATGATTGGGAGGTTAGAGTGTGCAAGTGCTCGAGAAGCACTTTGCATAGTTATCGATCAAAATTCATTAACCTTGCTGCTAAACAAAGTTTAATGCTAGCAGATATTTGATGCTGGGGAATATAAAGAAGACAGCACGTTCGCTTATTACAAGCCAAAGACTGAGCCATGTAGAAGCAAGGAAGAGGGGGACGATTGTTGCTGCAGGACCTCTATTTCATACTAAATTGTTCTCTCACTATGGTTTTTTATCCAGAGGACATACTTCCTTGCCTTTACATTGCACTAGGAGAAGTTTTTACCCCAAAGGTTTTGGTGTCTTCACAGCAAGAAACATTGTTAAGCATCATGCCCAATTTGTTCGGAAAAGGTTTTCCTACAAATTTTCTTCTGATAGCCGTTCTTTTCCCTCCATAAACAAAGCTACTCAAGCCTTTATCTTGGCCATTTCTCGTTCTTACCTGATACTTCCTGGTATATTTGCTTTCATATGTGGTGAGCTAGCACGTGCCCAAAGAACTGTCTCAAACGCAGGCTATTATCCATCTCATGATTCTTTCTTTGTCCATGCACAAGATGGACACGCCTTCGTGGTTTTACTACTGCATTCTACATTAGAAGTTATGATATTGCTACTTAGAGCTCTTTATCTGGCAATCTTGTTCACACCTTGCATAATGATGGCACCATTTGTGGATACCTTTGGACATAGCTTCAGGAGTCTCTGGCTTCGGGTTGTTCACCGCTCCCTGGAAAAAGGTGGTCCGGCATTCATTAAGTGGGGTCAGTGGGCAGCAACAAGGCCAGATCTCTTCCCTAGAGACTTATGTGCCGAGTTATCAGAGCTTCAAACTAAGGCTCCTGAGCATAGCTTTGCCTACACGAAAAAAACTATTGAACGGGCATTTGGTAGAAAGCTTAATGATATATTTGAGAAATTTGAAGAGAAACCTGTTGCATCTGGAAGTATTGCTCAAGTATACCGAGCTTATTTGAAGTTTAGTTACCCTGGTCAACTAGTAAAGCCAATGTTAGTTGCTATTAAAGTTAGACATCCTGGTGTAGGTGAATTAATTAGGAGAGATTTCGCTATAATTGACTTGGTAGCAAAAATCTCAAAGTTTATTCCTACACTCAGGTGGTTGAGATTGGATGAAAGTGTGCAACAATTTGCGGTTTTTATGATGTCTCAAGTAGACCTTGCAAGGGAAGCTGCTTACTTGAGCCGCTTCATTTATAATTTTAGACAGTGGAAGGATGTTTCATTTCCAAAACCTGTGTATCCTCTCGTACATCCTGCTGTTTTAGTGGAGACTTATGAACAAGGGGAAAGTGTTTCACACTACGTTGATGAGCTTGAAGGAAATGAGAGACTCAAGTCTGCATTGGCACACATTGGGACTCATGCTTTTCTTAAAATGCTTCTGGTAATGCTAACTGTGTATTTCTGCTGCATTGCTGATTGTCATTCCTCATTTTAAGTCGTCTCATTTTCTCTGCCATAGCTTCATTGTTTAGCATTGCACTTTTCTGGATTCTATCTAACGTTGGTCTAATGTCGACCTTTCAGGTGGACAACTTTATACATGCAGACATGCATCCTGGAAATATTCTTGTCAGGATGCCTCATGACAAATCCCCTAGGAAGCGACTCTTCAATAATTCAAAGCCTCATGTTGTTTTCCTTGATGTCGGCATGACTGCTGAACTTTCTGGAAATGATAGAATAAATTTACTAGAATTTTTTAAGGCCGTTGCCCGATGGGATGGCCGCACTGTTGCAGAGTGCACCCTGAGATTATCAAAACAACAAAACTGCCCTGATCCGAACGCATTTATTGAGGTAATAATATATGCATCTCAATTCTTTTTGATCTTCTGGGATAATTGTAGTTAGATCCTAGAATGTAGAGTTAACATTTTGGTTTGTCTGTCACTTCCTTGTGGCGAACAAGCTAATGAAAATGAAGACCTATTAATCGTAGCTTTTCTTATGAGAAGCCAACCCATATTTTTTTGTGAGAGTATTTCTGAATTCTTATCTCCTGCTTACAGGAAGTGACAGATGCGTTTGCCTTCTGGGCTACTCCAGAAGCTGAGCTAGTTCATCCTTCTGAAACCATTCAGCACTTACTGGAGAAAGTGAGGCGTTATAGAGTCAACATTGATGGAAATGTCTGCACTGCGATGGTCACGACCTTGGTTCTTGAGGTATGGTCTGACCGCTTTTCCTATATTCACGAGTTTGTATTTCCAGTTTCCACTATTACATTAGTTTCAGTTTTTCTAAAATGGAGGAAAGATAAATGCTGGTTTTGAAAGGCACGATGATGATAACCCGTCATTTCTGCACTTAAATGATGAATATTCTCATGCACTAACGTCTTATCTTAGTTTTATATTGACGCAATCTTTATCTCAGGAGAAAAGCATCTTTCTTTCGCTTAAAAGTTTACAGATCGTATTATGATGACTAACCTTCGGATGAAACTTGTTGTATCTCATTTGAATAGGGTTGGCAGAGGAAGCTTGATCCTGAATATAATGTGATGCAAACACTGCAAACACTGTTACTAAGAGGTGATTGGGCGGAGTCGCTTACCTACACAATTGAAGGATTGATGGCACCGTAGGAGCATGGGTTTTGGCTCTCTGATCTAATAAAACATTTTTGACAATGTAGAGACGAAATTATTTACTAATAAAGCCTTTTCCACGTTATTCAAGTTGTCTTATAATGCATAATCATTTTTCCACTAAGAAGTTTTGATTTTGTAATTTCAAAACTGAGGGAAAAGTGTAAATTCTTTTGAGACCATATTGTTTGTACTCTTCTCGATGTAAGGTTACATCTTTCTTCACCTGGCAAACAGAAGCAGCAGCCGTGGTTGTATTGTTACTTTCAACTTCTTGACTGTGCCTGTCGTGTTTATTTTTTATTATCCTGAGCGTGGCTTCTTAGTAGATAGTTCTCTTGGTTGGTTAAATAACAATCTCTCAACTTTCATGTGTCTGTAAATATGCTACATATATGAATACAAATATTGATAACAAGGATGATCGTATTACATATTAATTAAAAATGAAATTGATGGTCTTTCATGATTTAAAAATGTAACAGACAACTTCAATTTGTTTGTCGAGACCCATTTTTAGTTTCTAATCGAGGGTATTAATGAACGCATAATTAATCTTTGAGCTCAGCTTCTTGAGCTGAGTAGAAGTAGAAGAAACTTGCATACACATGAGTCAGCCGGCATTGCTATTAAAAAATATGCTTCGTCCCGAAGCATCTTGCAAGCCAGTAAACGAGGCGTCCTGTCTATATTATGGTTTGAACCACATTTTGATCTTTAAACTAAACTTCAGCAAAAAGAATAACTCAAACATGATCACATCCAATGAAATGAACACTTGGAAACACTTGGAAAGTTACTTTGGTATTGTTATATAACTCTTACATTTTAGATGTATTTCAGATTTTTCGAGTAAAAGAGATCTTTGAAACTGCAATTTTTGCTAACTGAAGTCTACTATGTTTTCATCTTCAGAGATTGGAACAGCAGAATGGCAGAGATATTGTATAAGCATGTCAAAATAGGTATCAATCAACCAATTCGATACATGAAACCACTGCCAATGGCAGATAAAGAATGCTGAACTGAAAAATTAAGGGAAAAAGGAAAAAAGAACCTTAATCAATGAGGTACTTCTTGCAGTGCATTTGTAAGCTCCCGAACCTTTTTAATTGCTGCATCTATAGTTTCGAGGGCTCTCTTTTTAACCTGCTATCAGAAACAAGTCTTTAACCATGCTTTTATCTACTAAACAATGTACTGTATTTCGAATTAGGACGGTTAAGATTTTAACCTCTAATGTCTTCTCTTTTGCTATGTGGTTTTCGGGAAGCAGTCGAACCTCATCGATCAACTGGATACTTTGGCCAACACTTTCAGGTGACATAAAATCTAATACTACGTGTAAGCAAGACTGCAGTTAAGATATAAGATTATATAACGTATCAGCAGAGGTAAAATGTTTACCTTTCCCTATATTTTTCCCATAATTAGAATGCCCCTCTTTCTCAAAAGGCATAATTTTTGACAGAAATCCAAAGCTTTCCATAGTGATAAGCACGCAAAACGTAATCACAGATTCACAGGCTTTAACGAAACAATAAAGGTCTAGCTAGAGGCTCTAAAGAAAGGATTAAAGAATATAAAGGAGTTTGTAAAGTTGCATTTTCTTCTGACCTTTCCATTCCGTATCTGGTATGGACATCCAGCAGGAATGATGACAGCTTCTCCAACATTTTGCTCAAAAGTCCATGGTTCGATTTCTAATGGCATAAAAAAATTCAATTACTCCATTATTATCTAACAGAGAGACAGCAAGGGGGAAAAAAAATCAAAACAGTACATACGAAATTCCTCCTTCAGTCTTAATTTGTGGGTTGCATCCAGAAAACAACTCTGGTCTAGAATTGGATGCACAACCTGCATGAGATGCAGTTAGTGATTGCTCAATCAGAGCACGTGCTAATACGGGACACTAAATGTTCAGTGCTTACATGCTTATGAATGAACTCATCAGAATGCCTTCGTAGGTACTCTGATAGCATCGGAACATCTTGCCTCCGAAAGACATCCCACTGGGCACCACACGACTTTGAAGTACTGTTTCCATCATCGAGGGCAGAATGTGTCTGTTGTCTTAACGTATTTGGAGCTCCTGTCCTCTCATTAGTTTGGGAAGATTTGCATTGAAACATTAATGGTTCAGGATCCGAGTCGCATGCACCATCAGAGGTCATACTTGGCCGTTTAATACCCTGAGCAAACACTTGCTCAGCGGATGCAGAGAAACAGGGTACTTTTGCAAACCTCTTAATGAAGGGTGTTTCTTCTCCAGCCGTGCAAGATTCTACTTCCTCCACACTTGACTGATTCGTAGAGGTATTGGAAGACTCACTTTGAGCCCTTTGTCTTTGAAGCAAGTTCACAACTCCTGTAAGTTGTTCTGTTGAAACAGGGACGTCTGTACTGTGGGCCAAAATGTTAATCTGCCACACAAATAGTGTAACAGTTCATCTAATATTTTAATGAAAATTATCACTCCAATGAATGATCGATAAAGAATAAGCATACCACATCATACGAGTCATAACATAATCTGGAGACAGAGTCAGTCAAAACATGCTCTTGGGAACATCCATAAGCCATATACACACATGGACCCATGTCAGGCTTCCCAGCTCCCTGTGGTAACTTTGTAGCTAGATTCAGAAGACCAGACATTGGGTTCATGTATTCTTGAAGCGGTAGAATTCGCATTATTTCTGCATAGTGAGCTGGAAACTTCTCTTGAAACAAATGGGAAGAAAGCCAACCTTTTAATTTTAACATGTTGTTACAAGTGTTTGTGTGTGTCTTCCCCTTAAGAGAACCCATAAAGTACTGCCTAATGCCAATTTCTACCTGCATGAAGAATTCAAATGTCACAAACAGAGGAACATCAAAACAAGATAGAATCATTTACAAAAATAAATCCCAACACAAAGAGACAAATGGGAGTATTGCATTTACAAAGTTTGCTAGAGAAAATGCTGACCTCGCACCAGTCCAAGTTATTGGAAGCTTCTGAGAGACTCGTACCATTTTCATATCTCGAAATGATTCTTTCAAGGTAAGTGCGAAACATAACTACTGGATCCCATGTCAGATCAGAAGTCTCCAGGACATTACGCACAATTACAGGATGACCTCTAATCCAGTGCCTCTGAAAATGGTCAAGGTCATCAAGACGGATGCGAAAAAGGCTGGGATAATGCAAATAATTATCATTTGAATCCTCCAGGACAGCTACTTTCTGGAACTCTTCAAGTTCATCAACTTTATGGTCCTCACCAAAGCACAAAGTACAGTTTGATGATGAATCAACAGACTCTGGAAAGTCATAGCTGCATACGATTTCTTCTGCGTTCACTTCAAGTTCCTTAGTCCAACTTAGTGGGAAAATACATCTCAATTCAAGAAGACTGTCACTGCAGCTGCCACATTCTTTTGATGGACAAGAAAAATGCTGAACACTATTTTGAACTCTCCCTTTATGCAATGATTTGGAAGAAGGAAGCCACGGACTAGGATTTAACTTCTTGTTTTTCAAAAGTTTTGTTTTATCAGACAGAAAGGTTGTCTTTCCATCAAGATACTTCGAAAGAGGCAGGTTATAAACTCCATTGGAATCCTCAAGAAAAATATTATGGCAGCAACTTAAGCAGAGATTATAGGAACAACTTGGGCAACTTCTATAGAGATCCGCAATAACAGTTTTGCAGTTACTACTGTACATCAATTGCAAAAGGGATTGTGAGGAGAATTAAATATTAAAAAGCAATATGTCAAGGACGAATTGTTCCAGCCTATCTTTCAGAAAGAAAAAAAAAAAAAAAAGCTCCAGCATATGAGGGAACATACCAACAATGTTCAAGACTGCCAAATTCATCCTGCTTGATATCAACTTCAGAAAGTTCTATTCCTGATGCATAAAAGACATTTAAGGGAACTTGCAGATAAATAACACCGTGTGATTTAAATCAGAACTAATTATTACAAGACCAAAAGTTGATGAAATCTCAAAACTACCTTTTACCATGGCCTCTGTTTCTAGCTCAGCGTGCATCTCTATGTTTATTTGTTTGAGCATAGGGAGAAGTACACAAATCAAATAATGGAAACGTAAAATTTTTCCAATGCCGTCTCCCAAAGAATCCTGAAATTGATTTCGCCGATGAGCATCAATATACATCTATGCAAGAACCATGGTCTAGACACAAACAAGTCTTTCATATCAGACCTTACATTCTGTGTGCAAAGATTGATACATCGAACAGTCCTTACAGTGGCAAATCCCACGGCAAACAGGGCATGCCTTTTTAACTTCTTCTTGTGTATCAAAGTATCTGCATTATCATAAACTTGAGCTAAAGGATCATCTCATCTTAATAAATGGTAAGATCACAATGTGAAACATAAAGATGTTTTTCATTCCGTTAATTCTAACCAGAGTACTGACAGAACTTCTGATGAAAGCTTAGAAGTTTGCGGTAACATTAATGATGTCTAAAAATATCACTTATAGTCTGAATTACAAGGAAAGTTGTTTATCACTAGTTGACAAGTTTCATAAATTATAACTATGGCATATACAAGCTACTAAAGAGAAGTGTTATCTCCCAGCTTCAAAGGCATGGCTTTCTGGAAGAAATAAATGGGACGATAAGTAAATAGGTTCGAGCGTTAGTTAACTACCTTCGAAAAATCTTTATACATTCTAATACTTCAACAATGGCTATACCACATAAAGCCCTAGTATTGTGAACTAAACCAAACAACAGCTGATTAAAAGTTCATGATCATGAATGGAAAAGCCCAAGTTGAACAAAATATGTGAGACTTACCGATCTCTGATGCAGTCTATGCAAAAGAACGTTTTTTGACAACTCGAACACTGAATTAAACTCCATGAACTACTTTCTTGACACCAATGGCACTTCTTCCTCCTAGATTTTCTCAAGTTCCCCACATTACGCCCATTTGGTAGAACCTAAGGGGGAAATGCCGAAAACGAAATAGAAGAAACCATTTATATCAACAAATTGAATCACCAATCAAACCACCTGAGTCGAACAGAAACGAATATCTTTACCTGCAACTCGCCAACTGGAAGAATATTGACATTCTTGGACCGAAATCGCCGTTGTTGAATCGGCCTTGATTGTGCCCCAACCTTGATTCCGCAAGAAGAACCTTCATTGCCAGATTGAAGAGGGGATGGAGAAGGAGAAATTGCCATAAGTCCATAGGGCAATTGTCTCGTCATTTCCTTATCACTGTTCTCCTCTGACTCAATTCCATTACCTTGATTCTTCAGCCTCTTCCTCGCCTTGTGGACAACCTTTTTCTTTCCTCTCTTCTCCACTTCCCTTCTCAGCACCATCCTTATCAACTCCACCTGCACACTCCCTTTCTTTTTCTTCATTCTAGTGAGCATCCCATCCAATGCCGCTGAAGTCCCCGCCAATTTCTTCCGCTTCATTAGTTTTGCGAGTGTTGCCGCTTTCGGGGCCCTAATTACGAGATTTTCAACGTTCGAATCCGTTTCAATCGATTTCCTGTTGGTCCTTTGAAGTTTGAGAGAATCCGGTACTTTCTCCTTGTACTGGCGATGGCGGCCTTGGAGATGGTGAATTTCACAGAGCTTGAGATTGTCCTTTACTCTCCGTTTGCAACGCCATTGCTTCCCATCAGTCCTCTTGCACCGCAAATGGTCCGGAAGTCCTTCTTCTTCTTCTTCCATTAGCGCTCCCAAACCAATACAATTTCCCTAACAGGAAACAATCAGATGAAGAAAACCAAGAAAGCTCGGCACCCAAAAAACCCAATCTTTGCTGCAGAAAAAATGCAATAGAAAAGAGGAGGGAGGAGGAAGGAGGGCGTTAAAATATATTCAACATTTATTGTTATTAGGGGAAAGGAAAGTGGCAAATTCGTAATAACCGGGAAACCCGAAATTCTAATTGGTAACAGATTAGGATCGAATTACTGAAACAAATTGCGATATTCAATTGTAGATTCATGCTTATCTTCTCATAAGCTTTGACTAATTCAGATCTTAAAACCAGTAATCTCAACTAAAATTTTGCCTCAAATGCAATTGTTTTTCTGTCATTTATCTACTTATAATTGTGTTCGTATTCAAAAACAGCTTCAAATTTTCCCTCTGCTATGCTGTAGAGATCATCAAGACTCAAAAAATGCGTATTATATGGCTACTGTCACATTCAATAAGGTGTTCGCCATGAATTATGATAATGGCTTCCGAGTACATGACAATAAACAAAAATCATACCAATTGATTAATTGGAAGGATTGCAGCCAAATTATGATGCTCGGGAAAGCTTGTCTATCTTTTTGCCGTTGAGGTATGCTGCAATCAAAAGTGAGTTAAATATGTGAAAAAGGGATTGTCATGCACACAGTTGCAGCAGCAAGACTACTGAGAGACTCCAAAACAACATACTGATATCATATTGTTGTGAGGGTCAATAAACGGATTTGAAGCCCAATAGCCTCATAAGCGATTGACCCATGTGAATTTTTCTTGGTCAGATCATCCAGCCCAATCTCACTGTATTCTAAGGTGTGTGATATTATATTCTTTTCTAAACCGAAGAAATACATCGTTTTGTTCAACACTTAATCACATTTGATTACATTTTTTAGACTTGGCATGACTTTGATATTATGTTACGAATTACAAACTTCTCTCGTGATTTTATTTTTTGTTTCTCAAAATATCTCATGTCAAGGAAGATGTATAGTCATTCTCTTAATTAACCAAGGTTATGGTCATTCTCATATTTTTACACTTTTAAATTATCGAACTAGAAAACATATCTCATCCATATCTTAAAAACGGATGGGCTGGTTTCCGCTTAGCTAATAAACTTGGTGCAACTGCAAGAGGCGTATTCATAAGCAGATATCCACGCTTTGTTCATCAAATGATATTGAACTGACGCTTCAAAAGCTACCATTTCCGATGATCCACAGCCAATCAAGGGAAACTCCTGTAAAAATGCCGCCTAATAGGAACAGTACAAGCAAGTTCCCCAACGCATTCTGCTCAGGTGCCTTCAACAAACCAAAATACAAAACAATTGATCAGATTCACCAGAAAGTTAAAGGTCATGTGAGTATCAATCAAATTAAGTGTGTTGAAGTTCTAACCTTGTAGCCTTTAGGTGCTGCAGTAAAAACACAGACTGTAAGATGGCCATTGGATAATCCCAAGAAGGAAGTGAGAAAGATCATCCACCCTTGGTCACCATATTTTGCTGTGAAGTAAAACGCCGGGATCAGTAGAAAACGGCACAGAATTGCGATGAAGAGGCCCTTCCTCGACTCCAACTTCAGCCAGTTTATGAGCGGAATGTATCTGCCTATTAGATCCCACACATTGTACATTGCTATCAAAACAAGTGGATACCTGAAATATATCAGCAGCCACTGTCTATCAGAGAATTCAAGGATAATAAATCTAACGCTCGAGAAAACCTACCATGATCCTAGTCGGTGTTTTCCAGTGTTTTCATACAAGAAGCCGGGAAAGATAGACAATGTGAGAACGTATATCAGAAACACGCCAAAAAGATAATCCATGTTCATCTGAAATAGTTGTTTTTTGCTCAATAGCTCGGTTTTGTCTTCCTGTGAAGATTAAAAACGAGTTTATCAAGGATATTCTGTTGCTACTATAATTGAAAAAACTTGGGGAACTTCGTCATACTTGTTGGTTTGACTGAATCTGGATGCCTGCAGCAGCAAGGTCAGATGACACGGTTTTGGATCCTTCAGAAGCGGCCTTTTTACGGTAGTACTTCACAAGTGGAACTTTAGGGAAGACTATAGCATAGAGAACAACACAAAGGAACTCGAAAGCAGCAGATATCGCTAAGAATAGAACTGCATAAACCAGTAAAGAAGTCAGTTACACTTTGAGCTGCCAAGAACAGGCTACATAAGACGAATGATTAGTGGTTGAAAATAGAATTGACATACTTGTTCCTTTACGAAGACCGTTATGAAAATCCTCAAAAGCAGCTTTTGTGATTAACCTCAACCCAGAGGTTAGAGCTCCTGAGGCAGCCAATCCAGCCATAAAAGACTGCCCTGACAAAACAACTGGTAAGATAATTTGTCCCAAGCCCACTGCTAATCGATATTGTCTGTTTTGGCCCGTTATATATCGCCGTCAGTCTCACGATTTTAAAATGCATCTGCTAGAAAGAGGTTTCCACATCCTAATAAAGAATGTTCGTTCCCCTCTCCAATTAATGTGGGATCTCACAACCCACTCCCTTCTGAGACCCAATGTCTTTGCTGACACACCACCCGATGTTTGGCTTTGATACCATTTGTAACAGTCCAAGCCTACCGTTAACAAATATTATTCACTTTGGCTTGTTACGTATCTCCGTCAGTCTTACATTTTAAAAATTAGTTTGCTAAAAAAAGGTTTATGTACCCTTATAATGAATGTTTCGTTTCTCTCTCTAATAGATATGAGATCTCACGTAATGATTGCATACATAGTAAGTAGGTACAAAATCCAAACTTTATCCCCACAACAGAGTAAAAACAAACCTGGATGAATTCGGGACACATCAAAGCAAGATCTCCAACCATACCACCTTGCACGAAAGCATCAGCAACTCCGAATGAACCGACAATGGCGCACAAAGCGATATATGGTCCAACCCCTCCTTTTCCAGATGTGACCAAATCCAACTATTGCAGAAGAAAACAACATTAATGGTCGTTCTTACTGAATAAGAAAGAGAGATCTTTTAACTTATATGCACCAATCAGAGCATCTCAATTTTGAAAGCAGCGGCCATTACTTACAACAATAAGCAACACACTACTTATGAAAAAGAGAGAGTATCCACGTATGTTCCTCCATCGGGTATCAATTTTTGCTTCATAATATGCAAGGATTGCAATTGTTCCAACAGCAAATGGTTGATACACGAGGGTGAGTACTCTTGAAGGATGATAATGCTTCAAAGTTACAAACAAGTATAAGACTTATAATTCTTCAACTGAAATAAACTTTAAATAACACCGCTCACAGATATGGGCTGTGTCAGTTAATCATCCATGTTTATTTCAATACTCTTACCGGAAACAATTGATAATAGTAATCTGATATGGTTAGCATACTGTTCCAACAAACAAGCGAACCCAAACCGAGAACCCAGCACACTGCCAGAGCTGTGTACTTCCCCTGCTCAGAAAATTCAAATAAAAATCAAACAATAAAAAACAGTTTTAAAAAAAGGGATGAGCACAAACCTCAGTCCTCGCCGGAGCCCCAGATTCATCATTGACATCAGTCATGATAGATTCCTACCTCCAAACAATAAAGAACAGTTCAAAGGAAAAATGAAAAACTGAAGAGAATTATAACAGGAAAAACAAATGGGATTGATGTTCTTATATGCAAGAGTATCATTCAGAAGGAAAGAGCGAGTGTGAAGGAACAGCAATAAATACACAGATTTGACCACAGGAAAGATGAGCTGTAAGAGAATCCAGCACAAAATTCAAGGAAGCCCGTAATTAGCAGCTTTGTCAACTCAAACCAAAAGCGGTTTATCACAAACTCTAGATTCAAAGAAATAGCAGAAAAATCAATTGGTAGGTGGCTACTTCGATTCCGTTCATATCTAAGTTCTGAAGATAATCTTGTGTTTGAATGCAAGAAAAAGAAAGCAAAGAGACAAGAGAGATTCTACAATGTGGAAGAAGATTCAAAACAAAAACTGGAATGATTAAAATACAAGAAATATAATGAAAGCGAATAAACTAATAAGAAACGTGAGAAACCTGGCGAGCGGACACACAGCTTGGTGGCGAAAGAATCCAAACACTTCCAAGTCCGAATACGAGGAAGTAGAGAGTTGAATTCTTTGATTTAAAAAGCTGAGAAAATGAGACGGAAGAACAGTAGTTTAATGGGTTTGACGCAGAGTATAAAAACGCCCAAACATTGTAGCGACTGATTTTGACATGTACCAACGGAGAAAGGTTTCGGCGAGAAGTAGACTCACAACTTTTGACTTCACAAAACGCACGCAATTCTTTGTTGAGGATTGGTCGGGCGCTAACCCCGATGGACTATAAATGTGAAAGTGGTTCGAAATTTAAAAAATTTAGTAGCGTAAGATTAAATGGGGTTCATTGGGTCTGAGCTTGCAGTTGCGCAGTGTGGTGAAGGGGCAAAGCAAGTAGCATTTGGAATGACGCAGGGGAAATGTGGAGGGCCATGATTTGGCAGGACTCTAAAATGGGAGTGTTTTTGTTTGGGTTATAAACTGAAAATTGTAAAATATTGAAGATTCGGAAGCCGGAAACAGTGCAAATACTAACTTACACACAACGTCCTTTTCGATTTCCAATTATAAAACGCTCAACTTGCTTTGCTTTTGTTTTTGATGGGGACGAAATTAATTATTTCTAAATTCACCATCATCAAATTTTTCTAATGTTAGGATGATAGCGATGTTTGGAGCTAAGCATTAAGCTAATTAATCAAATTTAATAATCATCCACTTAATACAAAAGAATGGAGTGAATTAAAAAATAATGATGATGAGGGTAGATTTGACTTTTGGGCCTGGACTAAAAAAATAGATGAGTTTCGCTAATTTAATAGAAAAGGAAAAGAAAAAAAAAATACTATTAAAAGAACGAAACCGGTGTTCAATAATTCGGATAGGAAGATTTTGTTGAAATCGAGTGGTGGCCGAAACGAATCGTTTAAAGGGATTAAATTCCACGTTTATACTGGAGGAGTAGCTCGTGGAAGTATGATCAAATGGTGGTGGGGCCCAGAGCCAGATCAGAAAGACAAGAGGATGCGATTGGTGGGGCGGCAACACGAAAGTTATACGGAGGCGGCGTAGGATAGCAGAGGCGTTGGTGGATAAGCCAGTGCCACCACGTCGGAGATTATAATTAGTCCAGCGCGTGGGCTCTACTCTTTATTAATTAAAAATTAAATAAAACAGCTAATACCAAATTTAAAGCCTGAAATGTACGCTATGTGGAAATAATAGAGAGGTCCGCTCAACTCCACCGCCGCCGCCACCACCACCCGGCACCCTCCTCCTTCCGTCTCTTTTCAGTTCAACTTCAAGCAACCAAGTCCCTTAATTCTTGGGTAATTAATTCTCTGCTTTTTACTAACCATTCCCAATTTTTGTATTAATTGGTCTGATCATCAAAGGTTCAGTCTTTTTCATTTTCTATTTAGTTTTTGATTTTGGTGTTCTTGTTTTTCAGTGGTGAAAACGTAGGGATGAAGAATTGTGTTGGGCTTCAGTAAGTCATGTTGTATGATACATTATATGAATTAAATGATTGGGATAAGAGGAATGAAAATCTAAGGATGCAGAAACAGAGTAGTGAAAAGCACAAAAGAACAAAAAAGAAAAGAAAAGAAAAGTGTTGGGTTTTGAGATCTTATGAATTTGAATCGTGCAGTGAATGTGTTTTTGTCTGAATTCAGTAATTTTAGTATTACAATTCAACTCTGTAAATCCAAGGATATAATGTCGGAAGACAATTAACCAATGAATTCGCTTAAAGTTTTAGAATTTCCTTGTTTATCGGACTTTTCTCTTTTTGTTCATCTGCAGGAGTGTTGTTCGTTATTCTTGAAGCTTGAAAATGGCGTCGATTCATCCATCGGAACTCGACTCCAACGCGACCGACTCTGTTGCGTCATCGCCGAGGTCCGACCACCACTTTAACTTATCTAACGATCCACATGCTCGAGTTCGATTCATGTGCAGTTTTGGTGGCAAGATCTTACCCCGACCGCATGATAATCAGCTCCGATACGTCGGTGGCGAGACTCGCATTGTCGCCGTTCAACGGTCCACTACTTTCTCCCACTTTCTCGCCAAACTCGCTAAGATCACCGGCAAGTTGATTTTGTATAATTTTGAATGTGTTTTCTTTTAATTTGGGGTTTCGAACTTTTGATTCGAAAAGGGGTTTTGAATTTGTTTGCTTAGGTACAATTAATATGACCATAAAGTACCAGCTTCCCAGTGAAGATCTTGACGCCTTGATTTCGGTGACCACGGACGAGGATGTCGAGAATATGATGGATGAGTACGATCGGCTTGTACAGAATCACAATCCGAAATCGGCGAGGCTCCGATTGTTTCTGTTTCTGAAAGGGGAAGATTCCAGAGCTAGTAGTATTAATTCCCTTCTCGGCGGTTCGACAAATCGGGACCACTGGTTTCTAGACGCTCTCAACGGCGGCGCACCGGGGCCGGAGCTCGAGCGTGGCCGGTCCGAGGTTTCGTCCATCGTCTCTGAAGTCCCGGACTATTTGTTTGGTCTCGATAATCAGGACGATGCTTCGATTCAATCACGAGAACCCAAATTGAAAAGTCGATTTAATTTGAATCCATCTGAGAATGTTTCGGTATCGGATCCCGGATCGCCAGCTCCTGTTGTGCCGTCAGCGACTTGTGTGGCTACGATGCCTAATCTTCCACCGGTTAAAACCCGGCCCGACACGCCATCGCCGAGAGCGGAGCCGGTGGATAAAACGCCGGAGAATTGTGAGCCGCCGGCGATGCCGTTCTCTCAACCGGCCGGATTTCCGAATAGCCCGATGATGCATTATTTCCCGGGTACAAATTACCCGGGTCATCAACCGGTCGTCTACCTTCTTCCCGGTCAGATTCCACCCGGAAATGTCCCGATTCAGCATATCCCGATACAGACTCCCCCGCCGTACGTTCAACAGTTCCCACCGGTGGGTGGCGGTCAGGTGCCGATGACATATCACCACCCAGTTACGATGGGCGGTCAAATGTACGGCGGAGGCATGGGTCCGGTGAGTGGTTACGACCCACAGGCGGAGGCGGCCAGGATCGCTGCAGATGGCGGCGTTAGTCAACAGATGTACTATGGAGTCCAAACCACGGCGAGGACTCCGCCGTATACAGCGGGCATGATGGGCCATCCGGTGGGCGAAGAGGTTCGGGGAAGTGGATCTGAAACAAGGGCTGGTAGCCGAGTATCGCCATAGCAATAGAACACGGTTGAAATGAATAAGTAAATTTATTTTCAAGTTCCACAGCAAAATATTATTTTGGTTGCGTAATTGGATTAAATTGGGACTGTAATTCGTGGTTCATTTCGGGTTTATCTTGATTCAGTGGCGTGACTACTCTGTAAAATCAGTGTTATAAAACTTCTTACACAACATTTTACTACCACTACCACCACCACCACCTTTAGAAAATAAAAAACACACCATTAATGATTTAAAATTCTGATGTTTTCAGAAATTTCAAGTGAAAAGAAGTACGAAAACTAAAATGCTACAATGAACGAACGTCAAAACAGCCAGAATCAAGGGCTGCTGCATCCATCTAGTTGATACATCAAATTAATAGTATAATATACACAAGTTTAGAAGTGTTATTTCTTTAAACCAGAAGAACACACTACCATGTGTATTTTTCACAGTGGTAGAACACAACAGTGGATAAAAATCAAGAAATCTTCCTTCAAGAAAGGAGTCCTTTTCAGCCTCCCGCCTCCTCTATATCGATGTTCAGAAACCTCATCTCCATTGTTACCAACTGCAGCCTTAACCATTAAGGCAGTGTATCGTGCATCTTCGATAAGAAATCAGATGGAGAATGCCACACATTGGTCAGGTTTCAAGAGTGATCACGATTTGGCACATCCTTTACAATGCCACAGGTTTCAGCGGATTTGGTTGAGACAGGAGAAGGTGGGTTTAGCTCAACGAATCGGCTGGCATCACCATAACTACCTATGCATATTGTGTCACCCCGACCGTGCCATGTGCCATCTTGAATGTTATTCATTTCCAACGTTCGTGATTCCTGCTCCACATTTAGAGGTATATCAGCCACGATTGAATATGTTAGTTTAAGTTGCTTACAAAAGATGAGAGAAGTAGGAACTTTAAAATGAATACAAGGTTTTGATGTGCAGATATTGAAGGACAGACCTGAGATAAGGCGCAGCAGGGGCAGATAAGGTGGTTGACGCAGTCATCCAAGTAGCTATCTCCTCCCTGAAATATAAAACAATATTGATCATCACATTAGCCACTAAAAAAACGCCGCTGAAACTTTCACTCAACAGTATTAATGAGAAAGAAATTAAAACTCGAGATTAAAACTCGAGAGGGCAATATCTCTCCATAGTAGCTCAAGCTCACCACTAGCAAATATTGTCCTCACGGTTTAACACTATGTTAGGGAGAGGTTTTCACACCGTTATAAAAAATACTTCATTGCCCTCTCCAATAGGCGTGAGATCTCACACCCACACTGTAAAATATCCAAAGTCATCACCCAAAGGTATCCAAAATTATCCCCCTTCTAAGGTCCCTACTAACTCCATCTATTTATAGAACCAAGGCATCCCTAGCTAACTACCAATATGCCCTTGCTAGTACTCTCACAACAAGTGTTCTCTCCTTTTTTTTTAGTATAACCAACCTGGAGTGGAGATTTGTAACCTTGGGCTCATGTACTCTCTCATTAATCTCACTTTTCACCCACACTTCCTATTACTAGTCTCTCTCTACACACAATTTGTAGCCGCCAAAGCCGAAGCCCAAACCCACCACTGACATATATAGTCTACTTTGGTCCATTACGTATCGCCATCGGCCTCACGGAGGTTCCCTTTGAGGGGTGGATTGTGAGATCCCACGTCGGTTATAGAGGGGAACGAAGCATTCCTTATAAGGGTGTGAAAAAACTTATCTCTAGTAGACGCGTTTTAAAACCTTGAAGGGAAACCGTTGAAGTGAAAGCCTAAAGAGAACAATATCTACAAGCGGTGGGCTTGAGCGGTTACACAATTGCAATTGCTATACTATAGCAGAAAAACTATCCCAAATATACTATTAGCCATTTGGTTTTCCATAAGCTGATAGAAAAAGAAGTCTCACCCTTATATTGAATTTCCTCCTCATCTGGGTGCGGAAGAACCCCAAATATGTTCCTGTTGCAATGGTGAAAGCAAATGCTGAATATACAAAGTAATGGCGTTTTGTGACCAAAAAGGCAATGAAACTGCAAAGGGCACCAAGAGCAAGAGCAAAATAAACGCTTCCCTGCACAATAATATATCTTCAAAAGTAAGGAAGGGAAAACTACGCATTAAGAAAATTTGATGATCAAAGAAAACTATAATCTAACTTCTTCCCCTCTCTCTCCCTTTAAAGGTTCAAGCAGCCAAGAAAAAGTTCACCTGAAGAAAACAAGTGCCAAAACCAGCCCTTCCCATATTCTTCCCAAATCTGTGACACGGACAGCTGCATCATCAATCATAGTTATAATTCAAAATTGCGCAGAACATACATCCCCTGCTAGATAACCACAACCAAATATAGATACTCCGCATCCATGAGCAAAAAACGTGCATAGGAACTATTGATCAACTTTTTTAGACACCTAAAAAGGGAAGAACAAAAAGACGAAATAATTTCCCTAAACAAGCTGAATAGAGAGATGAAAAAGTGGATTAAGGAGTCTAACCAGGCGGATTCGATAGCGATGCGACGGTCCTCGAAGCAATCGAGTAGTTCACCTTCCCACATCCTGAAAACCCCACCGATTTCGGGTCCCGTTTTAGCGTCTTCAGCACTCTCCAACTTTGCCCATTTTCCCTGCGTCTGCATAGCCACCGTGGAACACAACATATCGAAATCCAATAACGTGACCTCCTCCAGAAACTTATCCTCCTCTTCTCCAAACACCCTCTCCTGCTTCTCCAAATCCGCCATTAAAGCGCAAGGAAAGTAGAAACTTAGGGTTTCTTATTTGGGCTCTGAAAAATGCCTTCCTTGGGAATCCGTAAAAGGAAAACTTAAAGAAAGACAGCGTAATTAGAAGGCGCGCTACTGCTATTAATTGCTAATTTTGTTTAATCTGTTCGGAAGTTGCCTTAATGCTGTTGAGAGAGAGAGAGAGAGAGAAACAGCGATAGTGAGGATGGATCATAATAATAATAATAATAATATATACGTTTTAAAAATGGGGTCCAAACTGGCGGGCAATAACGGTGGGACCCAGGTGAGGATATTAACATTATCTTCAACAACGGTACAGGTGGTGCCACGTAGGCTATAATTGAAATCTTGAGTGCTAATCTACTCGGCATAATCAACGCGCCACTCCCCACTTCAATCCGCCGCCGTTAATATATAGAATATACCATTTTCCGGTGGGCAAAAAAAAGTATCTAAAAAGTGTTTTTTTCTATAAATATTATTATTATTATTATTAAAAATAGGAATTAAAATCAATAATTAGAAAAAAGAAAATAGAGGGTAATAAATAAAATTGTAAGGGAGTGTGAGTACGCCGGAGTTGAAATCGGAGCAAATCGAAATCAGTACAGACAGACGACACAAAAAAGGGGAAAGGTGTAGCAGAAGCTCAAGTTTGAAGGGAAACAACCAGTTTGTTTGTTTGTTAAAGCGGAAAAGAATACAGACAAAGGCGATTAATGAAAGGGAGGAGTATTTTGGGACCTGAAAGCCCGGTTCTTGCATTGTCTGCACCAGAGACGACAGACGTTGTTTTGGGTCAGAAGCCAAGCCCAGATACAGATACCCAACAGCAAGGCTTGGGTTGTTCGAGCAAAGCCATGGATTCTGCCCAAGAATCTGCCGGAGATTCAGTAAGAAGGGATCAGAAAATGACGTGCAAGGCAGGAGGGCGGCTGGGTGTTTCGAATTGCTTGCTCCCTCGGGCCAATTCCATTTTGGGCTTTGCGAGTGATTTTCGTCGGCCTGAAACCAGTGTAAGATGGGCCCCACCCCCATCCGTTACCGACCCGTTTTCCGGGGTGTTTTGTGGGGCCCGAGATGGGTAAACTTCACGCCGCCTACAACAGTCCAAGTCCAACTAGGACGGTCAGAGTTGGCTTCTTCCCGCCTTCGCAGCTATCTCGCCTTTGATTCCACTCTTCAAGTCTTTTTCTTTGTTCTTCTTATATTTGTTGTAAAATTGAAATTCCACGTGGGCGTTTTCTTCTGACCCCTAAGGTTTGTTGTGCTTAATTATGAATTAATACTTTTGTTTGTATTTAACAAAGATCCAACCGGCCAGTTACATGCATATTCAAACAAATTTCAAGAGTATTAGTTGAATTATTGACACCTTTACTTACTCTCTAATTTGTAATTAGATGCCTAATTCACCAATATATTATCTCGTCTTATGAAGGATGTGTCTCACATTATGGAATGTGAAGTCTTTTATTTTTTTAAAATAACAAAAACATTGGGTCCCGGATCTTCTTTGTCGCTATTATTACTTTTCTTCAACGTGGGGTTGCTGTGTTTAGCATCAAAGGCAGAGAATTTTGATGTTCAAATTCCAAAACGGAGGCCGAAAAATTAAGAATGATTTTAATCAAATCGCCAGCCCTTTGCTTCCACCAACTCTGTCACATCCCTGATTAAATATTTAAATCATGGTTTGTACTGTTCTTGCTGGATTCAGAGTGATGTTAGTCTTCTTTTTTAACTTCAAGCCTGGATGCGTCTAATCCTTTAAGCTCACAGTCGACAAATTTTTTTGAAATTTTGGGACTGAATGTGGATAAACTCTTAGTGGCCACATGCCAGCCATTTCAATGAAATTTCTTCACTTTTGATACTAATCCCCACCTAAATGGCTTCGGATTGGTTGTTCAAATCGATTCGGTTTTCTCTAATCTCAGAGAATATCTGCACTACGTCGCCGTTGAAATTTCTTCTTTGAATTTGGGTATTCTTCTTCATCAGCTTTTCAGGTCAGGCTGTATTTCTGTTCAGAGAGATCTTGATATGGGTGGAAATTGCAGGACGTTTGTTGGGTTTCTTCTGTTCTTCGTCATTTCATTCTTCCTCTGTTCTTCTCCTTTGTTTTGTGACGCTGCGAGTTCAATCACAAGGGGCACAGGTTTAAGAGACAGTAATAACGAGACCCTCATATCCGAAAATGAGTCCTACGAGCTGGGTTTCTTCAGCCCCATAAATTCTTCATCACGATACGTTGGTATATGGTATCACAAGATCCCGGAACAGTCTGTTATTTGGGTTGCAAATAGGGACCAGCCACTTCTGAATAGAGATGGGGTTTTGAAGATCGGAGACGATGGGAACTTGGTCATTCTGGACGGCAACAACGTCTCTGTTTGGACAAGCAATATCACAGCGAATGCGTCTGATCTGAGGAACTTAACTCTGGGTAAAAATGGAGAATTGATTCTCTCGACCCACGACGAGCCGTCGAAAGTCCATTGGAGCAGCTTCGGACACCCTACAGATACATTTCTTCCGAACATGGTGGTGAAAGTGAACTCTGATTTGGGTGAGAAACGGATTTTTAGGTCGTGGAAATCAGAGACAAATCCGGCCGTCGGAAATTACAGTTTGGGTGTGGATCCTCTTGGAGCCGTACAGATTGTCATTTGGAATGGGGAAGATCGATGGTGGAGAAGCGGGCACTGGGATAAGCAGATTTTTTCAGGGGTTCCGACCATGCGCTCAACGTCGTTGTATGGCTTCAAGGTTAACGCTGAGCGTCGAGACGAAATAACCTTGACTTTTCATCCATTGAATAACTCCGATGAGATGAAATTTCAAATACAGTGGGATGGTAAAGAAGCAGAGCAACGATGGAATGAAGCGAATCGCGTATGGGACACCATTCGTTTACTGCCTTCCAACGACTGCGATTTGTATAATTTTTGCGGGGATTTTGGGATTTGTTCTGAAACAAGTAGACCCAAGTGTAGTTGCCCTCATGGGTTTATACCCAAAAACAACGAGCAATGGAAGAGTGGGATTTGGTCAGATGGGTGTCAGAGGAAGACCCCATTGCTACAGCAGAGGATGAATAGTAGTTCGAATGGCACTGTTGAAGATGGTAAAGAAGATGGGTTTGTGGCTGTACAGTTCGTGAAATTGCCTGATTTCATAACTGCAGTGTTTGTGGACTCTTGTAGAGATGATTGTGCGAACAGTTCTTCGTGTGTTGCATATTCGGATGCTCATGGAATTGGGTGTCTTACTTGGGATGGTCCCTTAATTGATATTCAGAAATTCGATGGTGTTGGGAATACTTTGAACATTCGTCTCGCTCATTCTGATTTGAGTAAGCTTTCCAATCTTTTCAATTCATTCTCTCTGTTGTTTGAAGATAATTGAGGTTTGACACTTTCTACTGTTAGTACCTGTAGATAGCGAGAGCAAATTGTCGACCGCTGCGATAGTATTGATATGTTTAGGAGGAGCAGTTGTTATAGCCATGTTAGCATTGCTGATATGGAAATTCAGAGACAAAATGAAAGGTTAGGTGATATTTGTTAACGGTGGGTTTGAGCTTGAGCGGTTACCTTCACTCTTTGCTAACCATTCATGCACTTTCAGGTTCGGCAGCTGCTGCTTTGAGTAAAACACAGAACAACAATGAAATGTTTGACCTGAGCAAGAGCAAAGAATTTTCAGCAGAGCTTTCAGGGCCATACGAATTAGGCAGAGAAGGCGAACAATTGAGTGGACCAGATTTGCCAATGTTCAATTTCAACTGTATAGCAACGGCTACTGGTAACTTCTCTGAGGAAAACAAGCTTGGCCAGGGAGGTTTCGGCCCAGTCTACAAGGTGACCAAAATTTTCCAAGCATTTCTGCTGCAAAGCAAAGAAAATGAGCTCAGTTGGAGCTAATATTAAGCCTTGCCTTGCCTTCTCTTTTAATTTTCCAGGGAAAGCTTCCATGTGGCCTAGAAGTTGCTGTGAAGAGGCTCTCAGTCCGGTCTGGCCAAGGTCTAGAAGAGTTTAAGAATGAGATTATACTGATAGGAAAGTTGCAGCACCGCAACCTGGTCAGGCTGTTGGGCTACTGCATTCAAGGAGAGGACAAGATGCTGCTCTATGAATATATGCCAAACAAAAGCTTGGATTGGTTTCTTTTCGGTAAGGCCTCTTCTGTTCAAAAACTGAATCTTTTATACGTGAATGTTAGGATTTTGGGTTGAATTCCTTCGTGGGAATGGTGCAGATCCAGTTAAGCAGGTACTACTGGATTGGGAAAAACGGTTGTCAATCATGGAGGGAATTGCACGAGGACTGCTATATCTTCATCGAGACTCGAGACTCTTAATCATTCATAGAGATTTGAAAGCCAGCAACATTTTGCTAGACGAAGACATGAATCCAAAGATATCGGACTTTGGTATGGCTAGAATATTTGGCGGAAATCAAAACGAGGCAACAAATACAATTCGAGTTGTTGGCACATAGTGAGTACAGATAACTTGTGCACCAGCATCCTTGACTTAAAAAGTAATCTTATAAAACTAATCTTCTGAACATTGTCTAAATGCAGCGGTTACATGGCTCCTGAGTATGCAATGGAAGGTTTATTTTCGGTGAAATCAGACGTCTATAGTTTTGGTGTATTATTATTAGAGTTAATATGCGGTCGGAGGAACACTAGCTTTCGGTCAACTGAGTACTTAACCCTTATCAGCTATGTAAGTTCCTCTGATCTACCATTTGTTGGGAACTTTAATGTGTAGGTACTAATCATAGACTAAATATGAAAACTTTTTTCAGGCATGGAATCTTTGGAATGGAGGAAGAGCGATCGAACTTCTCGATCCGTCCATTCGGGATTCGTCCCGAGAGGAGGAAGTATTGAAATGCATACATGTAGCAATGTTGTGTGTACAAGACTCCCCAGCATATAGACCAACAATGCAGTCCTTGGTGCTAATGCTGGAGAGTGAGTCTGCATCTCTTCCACAACCAAGACAACCTACCTATACTTCCACAAGAGCCTCAATCGACATCGACTTATTTACCGATGGCCATGACGTTGTATCATCGAACAACGTAACAGTGACAATGGTGGAGGGTAGATAGGATTTTCTTTTGGTTTTGGTTTTGGTTTGCTCTCTTAATGTTAATACGTGATTTTACTGGTTTTTCAGACCAAAGGTCGTTAGTTCGTGATGAATGGTTGTTATTTTTATGAAACTATTCAAATTTTATAACGCCCCATTTTATTTATTTTATTTTCTCAACAAAATATTTTTTATTATATTCTATGGATTGTTATTTATGAAACTATGGGAGCTCAAAGGTTTTGTTGAGTAATTCCGACAAATTATCTAATGTTGTATTTGATTTTCATGGATAAAAGTAAAACCAAAATTAGAAAACTTACCAATTGGAATAGAATAAGAAAAGGAATATATATCGTATATTCTTTATATTGTTTTTAAAAATGAAAATTACAATAATATATTTATAAAAAATAAAATAAATGTTTTTAGTATGTTAATAAATGCAGAATATTCTAATAAAATTCAGTATGATATTTAATAATAATATTAATTTATTTTTTGTCAATAATATCATTATTTTGGGGAAAAAATGTCGATGAAATGGCAAATGGGGCCATAAATTTTATTGAATTAAATAAATTGACATTGATGCGTTCTTTATTTAGAGATCGCCAATAAAAGGAAAGAATTAAAATGTCATTTAATTCAGATTCACATTTCTTAAAATGAAATATAAAAAAAGAAAGAAAAATGGAAAATCAGCAGAAAAGTAAAGTCGGTTTAAATAAATAATTATTCATTATAAAAAATAAATAATTATCTAGAATTGTTTGGGTATATTAGTAATTGCGTGAGCGTATTAAAATTTATGCCTTGTATTTAATTTCGTGGACTTTTGGCATGACCGACCTCAACCTGGACCGATGAATTTTCACCGTTTGTCTTATAAAAGAGATATATTCTAGTAATTTTACACCATAAATATTCTGGAAGCTTCCAATATGAATATTACTAGTGAGATGGTATGGGTGATTTATTTATTTGAACAAATAACTTTGAATATTTTCCCTGAAAAGCGAAAAGCATTTGAAAAATAGACCGTTATGTTGTTCCAATTATTTTATGATGGAGGTGGAGAAATTATTTATGGAAAATATTAGAAAAATAAAAGTGGTTTAAACCAAATATTTAAAACGTGAAAGACGGAGTAATATAGAGAAGAGGAGAGAATTTGGAAATTAAAGAAATGGGAGTGTGGGAAGTGAAAAATGTAGAAGGGTATAATGGGAAATTTGGGGAAGTGACAAGGGTATAATGGGTATAACGCATACGCAACCATTGTGATTGTCAACTCAGGATTGAAGTCCAAAAACACACACCACCAACCCAACTTGCATCCCATGCACAATGACCAAAATATCCTTCCCTCTCTCCAATTCTTTTAATTTCCATTTTATTGTTTCATTTCGTATTAAACGAACCCATTTCCCATTTTTCTCTTTCCGCCTTCTCTGTTAACGAATTAATTTATGATTTTTATAAGAAAATTAGTTAGTGGGTTTTAGGTATATTCAAAGTCTCTGTGCTTTGTAGCTGCTTGAGAAAAGGAAGATTGAGCTGAGCTGAAGCATAGAGGGGCGGCTTCTCCCTTTTGTCCGTGTGGAGCTTGAGCTGTGTTATGTATGTAATGGAACTCTATCGTCTTCCATATTTTGCACTAACCAAAACCTCATAAACCCTCCTCTCTTCAGTTTCTGAGAGAACAAGGAGTGTCCAAAATGGCGGCTTCATATCCCGATGATTTCAAGTGCCCTATTTCTCTGGAGATAATGTCGGACCCTGTAATACTATCCTCCGGCCACACCTTTGATCGCTCTTCAATCCAACGCTGGCTCGACGCCGGTCATCGGACTTGTCCAATCACCCAATTGCCCCTTCCTGAAAACCCTTCTCTAATCCCTAACCATGCCCTCAGGAGCTTAATTTCAAATTTTAACCCTGTTTCCCTTTTCAAGCCATTTCTTCCTCATCCACCGCCCCAAACCCTAATCTCGATTCTCATCTCTCCTTCTGCCTCCCTCGATTCCAAGCTCGATTGCCTCAATCAACTCGCCAGGGTGTCAAAGCGCGATTCCGTTATGCGAAGAAAATTGACCGAGTCTGGTGCCGTCTCGGCTGTTCTTAAATGCGTTGGTTCTGACGATCCGACCCTCCAAGAGAAGGCCCTGTCGCTGTTACTGAATCTTAGTTTGGACGATGATAACAAAGTGGGTTTGGTTGCAGAAGGGGCTATTGGTCTCACCGTCGCAGCTCTTCAAGCCAGGTCCCCTGATTGCAGAGCCGTAGCCGCCACGATGCTGACGAGCTTAGCCGTTGTGGAGGTCAACAAGGCTACAATTGGGGCATATCCCTACGCGATTCGCTCTCTTGTTGGTCTCTTACGATACGGCAACAACAGAGAGCAGAAGGAAGCAGCAACAGCACTTTACGCCATCTGTTCGTACCCTGGGAACCGTGTACGGACTGTGGAATGTGGGGCTGTTCCCGTTCTGCTTGAAATTGCCAATTCGGGGCTGGATAGAGCAGTGGAGGTTCTGGGGCTTTTGGCCAAGTGCAGAGAAGGTCGAGAAGAGATGCAACGGTTCCACGGAAGTATGGAGATTTTGGGACGTGTGTTGAGAAATGGAGCCCCAAGAGGAGTTCAATACGCTCTTCTAACGCTGAGTTCGCTCTGCTGCCATAGCGAGCGAGCGTGCGTGGAAGCTAGAAGAGAAGGCGTTTTGGGAATCTGTATGACATTGATTGATGACGATAACGAAAAGATCAGAGCAAATGCTGCAAATTTGATTCATATACTGCGAGGAAACAACGCATGAGAAGAAGGAATCAAATCGGATCTTCGCCTGCGGTCAACAATTGGTGGGTTGGTCTGGTTTATTTCTTATGAGTCTATGATTCATGTGGAGTGTAAACGAAGGGATTTTGTTGTGGCGTAATGTCGATCCCTCATTCTCTTTACCGAGGTGAGTCCAATTTCTTCTCGATTATGGGTTTGTACTTTTTTTTTTCTTTTCTTTCTTTTTGGTTGGATAGTTTCTGTACAAAACAAAAACAAAAACAGAATCTGGTAAGATTGTGGTTCTTTATATATATAATATAAATTGAAATAAAGAACAATAGAATGAATCAAGTAGTGCAGGATTTTGATAAATTTAGATTGTTTTCTTTATGAAAGTTTCCCTTTTGAGTCAACAAGCTAGCGGCGTTGTCATGCGTGGGTGTTAAATGTAATGAAATGGTGCTTAAATATTGGTTTAGGTAGTTATAAACTTGTATGAAAACACCCCATATTACTTGCTTCTTCTGCTGGAGAGGAAATTCTAATGGGATTCGGATTCTGAAGATAAAGAAAAGTTGTGTATTTTTCAGCCTTGAATCTGGTTTGAATAAGAGAGTAAATGTGTGGTTTAGGGGTTGTAAGAGGAAGGTTGGTGGTTGGAAGGTGATTGGCGTGGCAAAGGGGGATGGACTGAGGAGGAACATTTGTTGTTGTTGGTCATTTTCATACGCCACCCACGTAGGCTCCAAGGACAATGGAGCCCTCCTCGTTTGTTCTTCTCTTTCTTTCTTCATTATTTGTCCAATCTCCTCCTCTGGTTGTTGCAAAAGGGGAGCCTTGTCGTCGTGTCGAGGTTTCAACTTTTGGCCATTTATAGAAGATTCCTCGATTCTTTATGTTCTAAGTGTTGGATTACACTCAAGTTGATACTGTGAAAAGATTATCTTTTAAGTTGTTTAGTTTGATAACATGTTCGTGAAATACGCAATGTGTGGGTCAAAAAGGTTAGAAAAGTGGAGATGTTTAGAAATTCTCCCTTTCACAACGTTGATGTCCAGAAATATGTATGGAGATAGATACCTACCGTCAAAATAAATAAATAATAATAACAAAGTAAAGAATGCTCCCTGTTCTTTTCTATTTGGGCTTTCGGAGAGAATTGGGCATTGATCATAATAGGCCCAACATGGCCCACTTGTCGGACCAAGCTAACATTTAAGAACCATTATTTTGTTGTTTTTTAACATACCTATAAATTATAACTAAAAGATTAGATTAAAATAAATGAGTATGAAGACTTAAATCATATGGTCAACATAGTGAATCCTGGACTTAGATTTAGTATTTATTTTAGAGATGGACTTGGTCCTTGTTCTCAATGGTTGCATTTGACTGAATGGTTGATTGAGCATAGCAATAAGAGGCATTGAATGTACACCAAAAATATGGATGCTGCTCATCATAGTGCTATCCTTCCAAGCCCCAACAACCACCACTCAATGCCCCATTCTTTCCAAGTTTCCCCCTTTGTTATGCATAAAAGAAAGAAAAGAGGAGGCAACTGGTACTTGGTAATGATGTTATTATCAAAGCGTAAATGGGATGAAAATGAAGGGTGTGGATTAACATCACGCACACGCTTCAAGACAAACCCTATTCCTTCCTCTTGATACACTTAAACATCCGAACCCATTTCATCAAATAATTGATGTCATGGGACCCCCTTTATTCTTTAATCACTCACCTAAACCTTTATTAAAAAAGCTTATCAACTTAACCAAACCCAAATCCCATTCTTAATTTACTCATTCTTTTTTTTTTTCCCTTGCCTTGAATTTCAAGCCAAGTACTCTAGTCATATAGAAATCTATTATGGGTAAGACTGTGTGAAAAGAATATGATCAAAGATAGTTATTTTTTCACTCTTCAGAAATTGATGAGTTTTCTTACTCAACAGTGATTCAGGTTGAATATTTCACCTGATCCTGAGCTTCCAATATAGGAAGACTGAAGTTTAATCAACCGAAACAATGATGGTGGGAGGAGTGGACATCAACCATCCCATAATTCAACATGATTATTAACAAAACCCCACCAAAATTGGGGTTAGACCCCATGAATTACGCTATATGTATATATATATATATATAACTATATATTGTAGAACACAGCTTGTAGAGCACTATAAATTGGGGTCCCCTCCACGTCTCTACCGTCAAACATTTCGCTCACCCACTTAAAAATTTCCTTTCCGAAGCAAAATAGAGGGGGAAAGAAGAAGACAGACGCGGAGAATCCATCAATAATGGCCACCAAAGTTTACATTGTGTAAGCCTCTCTCAATCCCTTCCTTTATCTTTCTCTTAATACATTCAGTTGCAGTTTATACACAACAAAACCATTTTTTCCTTTGATTATAATCCTCTTTTTGGTACTGAACTGTAAACCCAGATTTTTTTTTCAATCACTTTTCTGCAACTTTGAAGTTCTCTCTTCGAAATCGAAACGTTAAAGGCTCTGTTTTTAATGGAAAAAAAAAAAAAAAAAAAACATCCTGGAAACTTGAACTTTCTTTGCTTTATTATGTTCTTTTATTTGGTTGGTTTTTCTGACTAAAAGTCGATCAATTTCTTTTAGAACAGTGTAAAAGATGATGAACTTTTAACTTGTCTAAACTTGCTAGCTTCGTTTCCTTTGTTCTTTTTTGGATGTAATGGACTTGTTTTATAGGGGAAGTTCTCTTTCCCTTATCTGTCTGTCTCATTGTTACCTTGGTGTATTTGATTGTATTTCTTAAACATCTGCATGAGATGAACATATTTCCAGAGACAGATTAAATTGATATCTTTTTCAATGTTTGTTCCACCAAACATGTCAGTGATTTTTTAATGTAACTCTCAAAATCTTGTCCCATTAGCTCACAGTCAAAGTGATTTTTAATTACCATGTGCAAGTTTCATGTTTTGTTTGTGCATTCTTAGGTTACCTATGGAAGTGGGATCTTTATTAGACAAAATGATGTGGAAATTTAGGTGTGATATGTGAACTAGACTACCATGAAAAGAAAGCTGAAGTGATTAAGAAACCCAACCTAACCTGTTGAAATCATGTAAAAACTTTTGGCTAATTTTGTGGCCCCAGCTTTAGGACTTTTACTTCTTATTCCTACTGCTTATTTTGCCATCCACAACTATTGAAACTTCCTCCAAGTTCTACTGCTTAGCTGTGTGATGTCAATGTATTCACTGTTGTTTTTCACTCAATGATCAGGTAAATTGTCTTGTCTTCTAACCAAGTCGTCGAGAGTTTGATTTTGTTTTGAAAGTTTAGCTTCTTTTCACACTACATGTCCAAAACACAACTTCTACAAGAAACTATGACCAACTGTCTTGTATATGGTTGGTTGTTGTGTCATTTATATGAGAAAAAGTTAAAGACGGTTTGTAACGGTCAAAGCTCACCGCTAGTAGATATTATCCTATTTGGGCTTTCCCTTTCGACCTTCTCTCAAGGTTTTGAAAGCGCGTCTATTAGGGAGAGGATTCCACACCCTTATAAAATTTGATTCATTCTCCTCCCCAACCAAAGTGGGATCTGACAATACACCCCCCTTTGGGGCGCAACATCCTTGCTGGCACACCACCTCATGTCCACTCCCCTTCGTGGCTCAGCCTCCTTACTGGCACATCGTCCGGTGTCTGACTTTGATACCATTTGTAGCAGCCCAAACCCACCGCTAGCAGACATATTCCTCTTTGGGATTTCCCTTTCAGGCTTCTCCTTAAGGTTTTTTAAAACATTTTTGCTAGGGAGAGGTTTCCACACCGTTACAAAAAATGCTTCGTTCTCCTCCCCAATAGATGTAGGATCTCACATTGATGTTTAATGTCTGTAAAGAGTTGTTTTAAACTTAGATGACTATGTTGTGCAGTTACTATTCCATGTATGGACATGTCTTGAAGCTGGCAGAGGAAATTCAGAAAGGAGCTGCTTCTGTAGAGGGAGTGGAAGTCAAATTATGGCAGGTGCGCGTCTTATTATCGCTGTAACCGTTCATTTCTTTAGGCGCTGGATTAATATATTCCTATCACAGCTAATTAACCTTTTTGCACACTTCTGCATTTATCACTCATTTTTTTGGTCCTGTTAGAAGATACATTGGAAATTTCAAACGATTTTGGGAACTGGTTTTGATGCTGAGTTATGTGAATGAGTGAATAATGTATTCAAACAGGTGCCAGAAACGTTGCCACTAGAGGTTCTTGAGAAGATGCAAGCACCGTCAAAGGGTGAAGCACCCATCATTTCACCAAACGAACTTGCTGAAGCTGATGGCTTACTGTTTGGATTCCCTACAAGATTCGGAATGATGTGTGCTCAATTCAAAGCATTCCTGGATGCAACTGGAGGTTTATGGAGAACTCAATCACTTTCAGGCAAGCCTGCAGGCATTTTCTATAGCACTGCTTCTCAAGGAGGTGGACAGGAGACTACTCCGTGAGCCTCTTTTCTACAACCTCCTCTACCTTCTAAATTCCCTTTTAAACTACACCTTCACATTTCCTTCGTCCACCAAACATTTTAGAGTTAAAAGTTGAAGTACTAAAAAAATGTCTTAAATTTTTGTGTTGCAGCTTAACAGCCATTACTCAGTTGGTTCATCATGGAATGCTATTTGTTCCTATCGGATATTCGTTCGGAGCTGGAATGTTTGAGATGGAGAACATCAAGGGAGGAAGTCCTTACGGTGCTGGAACTTTAGCTGGCGATGGCTCGAGACAGCCCTCTGAACTTGAACTTCAGCAAGCTTTCCACCAGGGAAAGTACTTTGCTGGCATTGCAAAGAAGCTCAAGGGAAACTGATTGTTTTCTATAATATTGGTCATTCTATGCTTCTTATTATTTGTTCTCCTTGCCATTATATGTATAGCTATTCTCTATTCTCTGTTGAAGAATTTGCTATGTCCTGTTGAATATCTCTGTGTTGCCTTTTACTTGTGTATCTATTGAAGCTTACACAGCTACCAAACACTAATATCTATAAAGTTGTCTGTTGTGTATTTTAATGTAAACTGTTAAACCCATTATCCTTCCTAAGACATTCGATTCCTCTTCTAAATAGTTCAAGTTCACTGCTAGTAGATATTGTCATTTTTATGTTTTCCATTCCGAATTTTCCCTCTAAGTTTTAAAGCGTAGGGAGAGATTTTCACATTTTTATAAGTAATGTTTTGTTCCTCTCTTCAACCGATGTGGGATTTCACAATCCACTCCCTTGTGAGCCCAGCATTCTTGTTGATACACCGTTTGATATCTAGCTCTTATACCATTTGTAATCGCTCAAGCCCACTGCTTAAGATATTGTCACTCTTATAAATAATGTTTCGTTTTCCTTTCCAACTTATGTGAGATCTAATACTAAATTTCACTTGACAGCAAGAAAAACAAATATGTTTCAAACTTAGGAAGTAAAAGAAACAAAAAGAAGACCAATATCAATGGAATATAGAGAACTAGTTAGGACAAGAAAGTTGGGCCAAGAGTTGCATGATTACAAAGGATCATGAGTGGTGTGATAACAAATGGGCCAACAGCTACAATACAAGTTTATCCAACGTGAAGCTGTTGTTCCCTATGGAATGTCTGTGTGTGTATATATCATCAAACCCGCAAATGGTGTTTAATGAAGAACAGCGAGCAAGATCTTATGATCTGAACATCATAAACCAGGACAGCAAAGAGAAATGTTGAAATTTGAGGGTACTGTCGTAGTACTCAAAAGAAAAGGAAAGGATATCAGGAGGGAATAAAATATATAAAGAAAGAGGATGAGGCCATAAAAGAGCAGCTACATCAAGCTTTGTGAACGGGGGAATTTGAGCCAAGTGTGAGTTTT